AAAACAAAAATAATGAATTTTAGCAAAAAATAAAATAAAATTTTAGCTAAAATTAAAAAAAATAATAAAAATACCAAAAATAGAAAACACAAAACTTAATTTTTGCTTTTAAAATTCGGCAATTGTTTAATCTTTATTTTTTGGTATATTTAGGATATGGAAATGAAGAGAAGGGTAAAAAATTGAAAAAAAATATTTATTAAATAAAAAAAAGCCGAAATTGATTTCTACTAAAAATATGTGTGTGAATAAACAATGAATTCTAAATTTTTTAGCTAAAAATTTAATTTTCTCTCGAAATTGCCGTTTAAAAATAATAAAAATAGAAAATAAATACACTCAAAACATAAACTCTACCCTCAAAAATTCCCAGCTGTTTAAATAATTTTGATAAGATTCGAAGCTAAAGGGGGAGATAGCTTGAAGTTTAAGTATTTGGAAATTCTTAAAGTGAAAGTGCAGATTAGACCACATAAATACAGTTAAGGTTTGGTAATAAATCATTTTAATTAATTAATAATTAAATTCTCATATAAATTTTAAGTAAAGGTAATTCAATCATTAACGTGTCACAAAGCTATCATTTTAATAGAATTTTAAAATAAAAAAACTTATTTTCTCGATCAATTCCCCTGGGGAATTGTTTTTTCAACACTTCCTTGGCATGGGTAATTAATCGAGGGAGTGGAATTATTCGAATTTTGGCATTTGAACGTGCAGTAGGGTATTTGTGAATGGGGAATTATTGTTTCAACCCAACTCTAGCATGGGGAATTAATCGAGAGGGAGGGGAATTAATCGAGAAAATACGGTAACTAACTTAGGTACTTACATTTTCCAGTTACACGTTTTTCAAAATTTCTCAAAATTTCAGAGCATCAGAACAAATAATTATTATTCAGATTTAATGATTATTTAACAAAATAAAATTGCGAAAAGTTAGAGAATATGTATTTAAAATTAATTTTTAGATATAAATTAAATTTAAAAATATTTTAATAGACAATAATGTCTTCAATTAATATTTATTGCCTTCTTTTTGTCTTCACTACTTATTTAATACTTGAATTTACACATGGTTGTGTTCCACTGTATAAAGAAGGTTGTACTTCAAGGAGCTGCTGTAAAAATTTACATTGTACACGTACTTTTGCTATAGGAAGAGGAACTAAACGTCCAAGATATCAATGCCTTCAAAGCTTTTGCTCAACTAGTGGATGTATTGCAAAATTTGATAATTGTTGTTATGGTTTAAAATGTGTATCTGGTCATTGTACCCCGTGTACAACTACTAGCAACTGCGATCATAATGATGATTGTTGTCTTGGGTACTGCAATAAAGGCAAATGTACAAAATCATGATTTGAGATTTTTCTGATGGGACCAAACTTATGGACCGATATGGAAAGTGAAAAAGCAGCCTGTTAGGCTATGCTTTAACTAGAGATCGGACCGGGACGATCTCTATTCTCGTATGACCCTCCCAGTCCGATCTCTAGTTTCTAAATACCATAGTCTAAGCATTTGTTTGGAGGTATTTTGGAAATCTCAAAAGTTTTTATGAAAATAAAACTGTTCGGTCCGGAAGTTTCCTAAAATTTTTTTATTTTCGTGTTAAGTTGTCGGTTTCGACCGAAAAATATAGTTAAAAAATTGTTGATTGGATAAAAGAACAAGCAAAAAATATCTTTTCTCTATACTTTTTATTTCTTTCCTTTTTTTATATTTTCCTTTATTTTTCGTAATTTTTGAATAAAAAAATTTTAAAAAATCTTTAAAATAAAAAATCAAATGAAAATTTTTATAAAATTATCAGTCAAAGCAACAGTTTCGGGGCAACCCATTCGTGGTTTAATAAATTAATACAGTTTCTTGAATTTATTAGTTTGTGGAGAAACCCATGAAAATAACCTCTCAATCATGGGCTCTGAAGGATTCTTTGGAAACCTCCTTAATTTACAAGAAAATGTGGGAAGAAGTCTTTGGTTTCGAAAGATTCTCTGAAAACCTTCTTTTATCAACAAGAACAAATGGAGGAAAGAAAACTGTGGTAAAAAAATATTTTCGCCAAAATTGAGTAAACCCTTCTTAATTTACAAGAAAAAGGGGTAAAATGTCTGTGGTCAAAAAAATATTTTCGTCTGCAATTTGAGTGTTTTCCAAATTTTTATTCAAATTTTTCTTTATGGCAAGCTTAAAAGCCTGGAAAAATTTTTTTTGAAGTTTCAAAAAAATTTTTCCCCCCAAATTCTCATAAATATTCTATAAACTTTTAATATTTTTAAAAACTTTTTTCAGTCTTTTTTTGTTGAAATTTTAATATTCCTTTTTCGAAATACATTTTTAAAATATTATGTAAAAAAAATTTTTTCTTCTGTTCTTTCAACCCCCTTTATCCATTCCCAAAGGGTCTTTAAAGCTGCTACATTTTCTCTTCCCTTGCACATTTTGTCAATCATTCTTTCGTTTATCAGTTTTTAAATATTTTTAAAAATATTCCATCAATTTTCTATATCATTTTAGATAGCCTTTTACGTTTATAAAAAGAGACTAGACACGTTGCCTGCCTTTGGGGAATTTTTTGACAAAAATGGAAATTTGTGAAAATTTACTTTTTAAATTTATAAAATATATTAGGTAGTTTTTATTTTTAGCCAAAACTGAGGTTTTAAAAATCTCCCTTTTTCAGAATTTAAATACAGTTGGTGCTCTAATCTTAATACCTTCTGATTGTATATAATATAGAGGGTAATTGCTTAAGCATCTCACCTCTAGTGCTGTCCAGCCAGACCTTAAAAGCCTTTATAAACTCGAATATTTTGAGCGTCTTCAAATTATGAAAATTGGAGACGTTAATCTTTCTGATATTTAAAAACTATTTAGAGCCCCACAAAAGAGCATACAGCCAGTGTTTGGAAGCTTGTACCAAAATTCGTACTCGTACCTGTATACGAGTACTAGTACGAACAATTTTCAAAATTCCAAACACTGCATATAACCATAATTTAGAAGGTAGTGAAAATATTTCCAAAAAGGCTCCGTTTTAAAAATACAATAAATTAAAGGGGGTAAATAAATTAGAGGGTTGACTGTTTATTATTAAGTTTTAAGGAAAATTCAAAAGAATTTTTTTGAAAAATATATTAGACCAGTTAATTTTACTATTTTAAAAGGCACCCAATATTGCTAGACTATGAGACGTTTATTTAAAAAAATTTTTTAACAATTAAATATGACTAATTATTCAAAGTTTAGTTTAGTATAACATTTACTACTTAAATGTCATTTATTTTTAACTTGAAATATTTACGAGAGAAGAAATGTGTGTATCTAACAAGGAGCATGGTTTAGTCTCGTGTCTCGTATTTTGTGGGACGAGGCCCATCCCTGGTATTTAGCTAGACTTCTTTTAAAAATAATTTTTGGCTTTTTCACCCAACTATTTTAAAATTAATAGAAAAAGAAAAATTTGTTCTTTAATTTGTCTTTTTTTTTAATTAGAAAGAATTTTCAATTAATTTTCTAGTCATCCATGAACCTTCTTCTGTTCATCCCCCCTTTTTTCTTTTCAATCCCCCCTCCTCTTCTCTCACATGCTTGGTCACATATCCAAGAGCGTATTTAATGCGTCACCATAAATATTTTATATCAAATCCTTTTAATCTTTTTTTCTAGTTTTTTAACCAAAACACATCAAAAAAAACATTTTTTTACTTTATTTTCCCCAAATAATGTTAAAAGGAAAAAAGCCTCCTCTAAAGGCTGTCTAAGCTTTTAAACGTTTTTTTATTTTTTTGCTTCGTATTTTTTTTCTCCTTTTCGTCATCCATTTTATTTTTCTGGCATTTATATAGGGCTGTTTGGACGTGGAAATTTTTGTAGTAATTTATGGGAGGGGGTTTAGAAAATATTTTTTAATTTATAGCTAGTAGAGGGCCTCGGCAGAATTACGAGTTCCGACATTTTCTTCTTCTAATTTCCGATTTCCAAAAATTTATAATGATTTCCGAGTTCCGAATTATGACATTTATACAATTTCCGATTTCCCCCAGTTCCAATTTCCGGCTCTTTCGCCATTTCCGACCGACCTCTAATAGGTAGTTAAGTGGAATTTAGTATGGCCTTGTTCAGTAGGGGCAATGAGAACTTTAAATAAATTATTTTTTAATTTTTACTACTTAATATTGGAGGTCACTAGTTCGAGTCAGCCGGGGAAATTAAATTTTTAAATCAGCATTAATGATCTTTAAGACCCCTAAGAATTGTTTCCAAATGCTCCGAAGTTTTCAGAATAGTTAAATAAGACAACTAAGCTTATTACAAACAGACCTCACTATAAGATACACCATTGGGGGTGATGATATCGTACCTTATAATGAAGCGTATCGTAAATAGAAGGTATCGCTTGGGCAGCTCCCCAACTTAGCAGTTAACCAGATTAAAAAAACGTCTCTTAAATAGAGGGGTGTCTATTATTGGGGGTATTTTACAACAAGGTCCGCGCCCAAAAGTTTCCCGCGCCCAAACATCTACCCAAATATTCCCATTGTTTCCTCCCTTTGTTTTGTTATTTAGAGTTTTTTTTTGTTAGCCTTTAGAAACTAAAAACTGCTGTCATTTGCCATCCTTTTTCTTTTTGTTAAAAAATGCTAAACACTATAACATATTTACAAGCTTTTGTGTCCTTTTATTCTTTCTATTTAATTGAAAAAATTAAATTCTTTTATTCTTTTATTTTTTAAATTGTCTAGTTTATTTGTTAATATTTTTAAGTCAATTATATTTTTTGAAAAAAAAATTTTTTTCAAGAAAAAATTTTTTTGAAGAAAAAAAATTTTTTTTACTCCATATATAATTTTATATTTAATAATCTTTTAAATTATTATTCCCTTTATTCAAAAGAAGAAAAGAATGAATAAAAGGTTTCCGGAAATGATATTCATTTTATTTTTCTCTTTCCGGAAAAATATGAGAGAGAGAGAATGTGTGTTTTAATTAACTTTTCCGGAAGTGATAGAAAACAAAGGCTTTTATAGTCTTCTGTCTTCTATTGTCCTTTCTTTTAAATTTTTCTTTTCTGTGGGTTTCTTTGAAAAATAATTTTTTGATGTGTTTTGGTTTAAAATGAGAGGAGATTTTAAAAGGTTGATAAAGCAATATTTTTATTGCCTAGTAAAAAATGATTGTGTTTTGAAAAAATTGAAGGGAGAGAATTTTAAATTAAAGTGTTTACTTTATAAAAAATATTTTTATGAAAAATATTTTTTATTTACTTCCCTTTTAGATAATTTTCCAACTGTTCAAAAAATATTTGAAGAAAACAACATTTCTTTTTTTTAAATTTATCGTTTCTTTAAAATTTTTAAAAATTGCTTGCCAACAACAATTACAAATGACTGCAGTTGCGCAGCAATTTATTTGCAGGCGGTATCTGCTAAACGATGATGGTAAGGGTTGATTTTTAAAATGCTGTAGGATTTTTAAATTTATCGAGAAAAGTTCAAGAAACTATTAGAATTTTGAAAATAACCTAGGCAGGGAAATGGAAGTTGAAAATTGCCAGTTAGGGACAAAACCGGCAAAAAATATGGAATTCACTTCCATGTACTCCAAAAAAATAGGAAGAAGGGTATGTGAACGGTTAAGTTCTTATTTTGTTTCAGGAAGAATTTAAATGAAATTGAGTCTATCGGTAAATAACCTTCGACATCACTATACCTACAAAGGGCATTCTGCAAAAGACCCCTTTCTTTTAATTTGAGATCGGGTTTCAGCTCAAGACAAAGTCCATATTTATGACCCATCCCATCCCTGTTATCCTAAACCCATCCTAACCCCCCCCCCTAAACCCATTCCTTAAAACAAAAATCAAAAACACAACTTCAAATACAATATTTATTTAGCAATACATACAACATACATATATTATAATAGAGCGCACAAACAATATACAAATATACATTTCAAGATATGGTATATATACAAAATAGGGAAGTAGTATAATACTCCCAATGCGCGCAAATATATAGGAAGACATATTATATGAGGGAAGAGGAAAATAATTATGGGGATACAATTTAGGTAAATGTTGAATTATTTTAGATATATTATCCTATCACAATCATCTTCACTTCTCCTCTTCTCTCCCGCTCCTCTCTACTTCTTCGACGTTGCCCCTCCAGCCTTCGATGTCGCTCCTCCCTTCGTTGTCCCGGCAGCTTTCGATGTAGCACCGCCAGCAGTTGTCGCTCCACCGGTTTTGGCTTGCGTCCCTCCAACAGTAGTCATTCCGCCGGTCTTTGCTTGGGTCGCTCCAACGGTCGTCCCACCAACTTTGGTCTTGGTCTTCGTACCTCCAGCACCGGTCATTCCCATTTCCATTCCCTCTTCTTCTTCACCTTTTCCGCGGAGCACGAAGAACCAGACGAGGCCACCAACTACAGCAAGCCTATAATTTTATTTTTAATGTAATTTTGTTAAATAACCCAAATCAAAAATATAAAACTCACAGGACTACAACGGCGATGACGATGCCAATGATGAGAACCATGTTACTGCCGGAAGCTTCAGCTCCACTAGATGGACCAGACGTGGTCGTTTCAGCAACAGGATCACTGCTTCCATCAGGATCAGACGTTCCACCAGGAGGCGTTGTACCAGGAGGAGCGCTACCACCAAACTGTTTGAACCGGCTACCACTCTAAAATAAATAAGAATTTTGTAAACAAAATATTTTAAATATATAAAATAAATTTTACCAGTCTGAGGGACATCTCGCACTTTGGACCCTTGTTCCCATCAAGCTTGTTGCCAAGTTCAATGTTTTGTCGATGTGACGTATGCTTGGGTACAATGTGCAATGGCAGAATGTTCAGCGTGAAGAGATATTTGAATTCGTCCTTATGCGCCTGGTCTGTGATCTCCCATTGCTCAGCCTTGCGAAGAACCTGTTCAGTGTGGCAGTATTTGTCTTCCTTATCGTAGTCCAATGCGTTCCCTCCGCAACCGTGATCAGACGACACCCGCCATCCTGGAAACGCTTTTGGATCGAACTTGATTGTGATAGACGCGGTGCTTTCGGCCTTATTTTTCCCAGAAGCGCAGTACCAGATTCTCGGCTCACCAACTAAAAAATTAATTTGATTAATAATCAATGATTATTTTCTTAAATGTTCAATGATATTTATTTAAAACTCACGGATGTGCACGTTGTAGAGAATCATGTCACCCCTTCGTCCAAAAGCAACATCGAACTCGGTCGATACCAGGCATCTTCCGAAGCGTTCGTTCACACATTTTTCATGACATGCAGCGTCGGCACCTCTTTTAAGCCCATCTTTCACCAGATTTTTGAACCCTTCTTCCGGCAGACTGAAGGTGAACGGAAACCTAAACAAAAATTATATCAGGTCAGAAAAATTTAGCAATGATAATTCACTCACAAATTATCGTCGCCGACCCTCTCATCCTTAACGCCATTCCCTTTAGCCACAGCGTCCGTCAAGCATTCCATCAGATTCCCGGTGACGGAGAATTCCAGCTGGATCCCTTCGTTCTTCGTGAGCAGATCAATGGAGCATCCTTTTGTCGCATGTGGCTGTCCCTTTTTGTACTTGATGATCCTGTAAAAAATTAAAAACAAAATTTTTAAAATATTTATTTTATAAAATAAATGTGCTTACATATCCCCGTTTTTCCCCTGTTCAACAGCACAATCAGTCCCGCTGCCTGTGCCCAGCTTTATGATCTTGTTGTCCTTCCTTTCATGCTTAGCAAATCCAACCAGGTCGCACCAGACAACGCATTCGAGCAGCAACAGAGCGACCGTGAGCAGAAGAAGAGCACGCGAAACCAGAGCCGATGTCGAGGCCATCCCGTTGACGCTTGAAGAGTTGCAGCAGCGCTTCCGCATTACAGGTACGTCGACGAACGTAGATGAAGAGAATTTGTTGTAGACGATGATAGAAGATTGATAGTTGTGTTGTTAAGGGAGAAGAAATGATGGCGTTTTTATAGTGTTCCTCTCTCGCGGAAAAAGAGACTTTGTTGTGTAATATAAAAGCCAGTCTCAACATCAGTCTAGTTGGATCATACTAGCCCAGCAGTCCGGCAACCAGTGCGCGTCAACTGTTCGGCAACCAGTGCTCGCTCGTCAACAGTCCGACAACAGATCGTCTACAGGCGTGTTCAGATCGACAACAGCAACAGTGGAGACTAGTACTTAGTGAAGTATTGTGATGAATTGTAGTAAATCGCTTATTGCAATTAGGGAGGTGGAGATTGGATTGTAAGTGTAGGAACATCATAGTTAGTGATCGGCATGAGTCGAAATTGAATTGTAAGTGTTGGTGGACTTTTTGTGATAGTGACTGGAAGAGGACTTAGTTTGAGTGCGAGTGGTTTAAAGATAGAGAGGTGTTGCCTAGTGGTCCTGAAGGTCTGAGTTTTAAAGCTGAATTGTGAATCATAAGTGATGCTTGCCGAGAGCCGATGCTTTCGCCACCTCTACTTGTAGTGAATTGAGCGCCACAGGCGAAAATCTTGAGGATTCTGGAAGGCTAGAGGAGAAAAAATGGCATTTTGTTCTAAAACCTTCAATAAAAAATAAAAATCCCCGCAACACATTTTTAAAAATAACCTTCCTCGATATATCAAAAACCCACAAAATAAGGAAAAATCCACATATATACGAGTCCTGAAGTAAAGAGAGGGAAAATGAGTAAAATGCATAAAAATGGCTTTTGCAGGATGCCCTTTACATAGGGACGTCGAGCTTGAAATTTCCTAGACACTCCTCGGTTCACATCAAGGGAATTCTGAGTTTTCCCACATGTTTAATTTTCTCAAAATCTTAATAAATCCCCCAATTAATTCATTAGAATTATCGGACACTTTTGATTTACTCGATTTGGACAAGGATGGAAGATTAAGTCGAAACGAGATTGCAGCTTTATTGAGATCTTCAGCTAAAATAGAACCAACAAGGAAAGAATTGGATTTTTTGTTTAGTGAAATGGACCATGAAAGTAATTTTATTTTGAATTTTCCCAATATTTTTTCTCTTTAGATTCCGGAAAAATCGACAAGCAATCATTTGGTAGGTGTATAACAGTTGAACGTATTTATAGGATACACCCTCTAGGGTTAAAAAATTGTACCTTTTAATGAGGTGTATCTTAAATAGAGGTTTCGAATAGGCAGCTCTTTCGTTCAGGGGCTAGCCAATTTTAGGATACGTATAGTAGATAGAGGAGTATCCAGTATAGAGTTGTATCCTCGCTATAAGATACTTCCAATACTAGGCACACCTCTATTTAAAGGACGTTTCTTTAAAATACTTGGTTTACCTTTGCTCTGGAGGATAAATTATGAGGAGGACAAATCCTCTATTTAAGATACAACTCATTATAAGGTCCTAACCAATAACGAGGTACGTCGATATAAATAACATTACAGTTACCTATCTTCGTTGCCCTCTAATCAACCGAATAACAGTTAAAGAACTTCGCAACCAATTTAAAGAGATTGCATGGAATGGGGACGGTTCTATTACAAAGGGTAATACAAAAATTAAAAAAAATTTTTCAAAAATTAAATTTAGAAGATCTAAGTCACATTTTAGCAAAAACAGCAGACTTGAAAGATGAAAATGCTGTTGAAGTTTTATTTGAAACAATTGACCAAGTATGAGATAAATTAATTTAAAATTTTTAAATAATTTTTAAAAGGATCAAGACGGAAGAATTTCTTTTGAGGAATTTATCAGAATGATGCGGGAATAAATTTTTTATGAATTTTATATAAATAATTTTATTATGGTCTCTCTATTAATAAATACACTTAAATATTTTAATGCTTATTTTTGTAGTTTTTTTTATTAAAAAATATCTAATTATGTAGTACATACTTATTTAGTATGTTTCTTTAAAATTGACCGTTTAGCTAAATGGTAACCGGTATACGGTAAACATGTTTGGTAAAATTAAACGGAACGGTATAAGGGTCTGCCCAAAATTTTAAGACCGCTTTTTTGCCCAAAATTTTGGCCCAAAATTCGATGTCGGACCGGACCGGGTTTCCACCCCTAATGGTCAAGCAAATAAAATGTAACTTTATATAAAAACGCAATATAAAAATACGTGATTGTAAACATTGGTTGGATATTTCTTTTTAAAAAATTATTTTAGATAAAGAATCTATTCCTCATTTCCATGCTGATCATCCTAGAAGAAAATCAAAGTCTTCCGTTAGAAGAAAAGAACAACTTGATAAAAATTTGGATTTTAAAATGGGGGTTGCTTGTTGTGAAAAAATTAATTATATTATTTTTAAATACTTTTTTACGTGTTCGTTTTATGATTTAAATTTTTTTAGGCTTTTAAGCTTCTAAACATGTTTTGACGAGAGTTATGATTTCTCCCTTTTTAATTTTTAGTGCGAAAAGTGAGTATTTTTACTCTGCTGAACATTTTGAAATGGAAATCCGCGATTTCTGTACATTGGGACGAATCCTTTGTTTTTGTCCAATGGGACGTATTTAATAAAAAAAACTGTCCATCAACCTTTCATCAACCAATAGGTCCACTAAGTTACCCTCTAACTTAGGCCATTGGCACTAACACTGGGTCCTTTTCACGTCCCTTCACGTCCACTGCGCGTTAACAACTCAATTTCGACTCATGCCACTTACTAATTACGATGTTCCCACACTTACAATCCAATCTCTAACTCACGTCAAGCAATTCACTACACTTCGTCATAATAGGTACTTCACTAACAAATAAGTACTATTCTCCACTGTTGCTGTTGTCGATCTGAACACGCCTGTAGACGATCTGTTGTCGGACTGTTGACGAGCGAGCACTGGTTGCCGAACAGTTGCCGTGCACTGGTTGCCGGACTGTTGACGAGCGAGCACTGGTTGCCGAACAGTTGACGAGCACTGGTTGCCGAACAGTTGACGAGCACTGGTTGCCGAACATTTGACGAGCACTGGTTGCCGGACTGTTGACGAGCACTGGTTGCCGGACTGTTGACGAGCACTGGTTGCCGAACAGTTGACGAGCACTGGTTGCCGAACAGTTGACGAGCACTGGTTGCCGAACAGTTGACGAGCACTGGTTGCCGAACAGTTGACGAGCACTGGTTGCCGAACAGTTGACGAGCACTGGTTGCCGAACAGTTGACGAGCACTGGTTGCCGAACAGTTGACGAGCACTGGTTGCCGAACAGTTGACAAGCACTGGTTGCCGAACATTTGACGAGCACTGGTTGCCGAACAGTTGACGAGCACTGGGGATCAGGGACTTGCTGGGCCAGTATGATCCAACTAGACTGATGATGAGACTGGCTTTTATATTACAAAACAAAGTCTCTTTTTCCGTGAGAGAGGAACACTATAAAAACGCCATCATTTCTTCTCCCTTAACAACACAACTATCAATCTTCTATCATCGTCTACAACAAATTCTCTTCATCTACGTTCGTCAACGTACCTGTAATGCGGAAGCGCTGCTGCAACTCTTCAAGCGTCAACGGGATGGCCTCGACATCGGCTCTGGTTTCGCGTGCTCTTCTTCTGCTCACGGTCGCTCTGTTGCTGCTCGAATGCGTTGTCTGGTGCGACATGGTTGGATTTGCTAAGCACATGAAGGATAACAACAAGATCGTAAAGCTGGGCACAGGCAGCGGGACTAATTGCAAGTACGAGATGAATAACGGGGACATGTAAGCTCATTTATTTTTTAATAAATTTTGTAAACTTTTTATTTACAAAACTTTTTATTTTAACAGTATCATCAAGTACAAAAAGGGCGAGCCACATGCGACAGAAGGATGCTCCATGGATTTGCTCACGAAGAACAGAGGGATCCAGCTGGACTTCACCGTCACCGGGAATCTGATGGAATGCTTGACGGACGCTGGAGTAAAAGGAACGAATGAGCTGCACGATGAGAGGGTCGGCGACGAGAATATGTGAGTGAATTATCGTTAAATGTTTTATTCTTATAAAAATGTTGTTTAGGTTTCCGTACACCTTCAGTCTGCAGGAAGGACGTCTTGTCGATTTGCTAGATAAAGGACCTAAGACAGGTGCTCCCATTGGGTGTTCGGTAGAATGTAAGAGTGAAGGAGCAAAAGGCCGTTATGGACAATGCCTGCTATCGACCGAGTTCGCTGTTGCTTTTGGACGAAGGGGAGACAAGATGCTCTACAACATGCACATCCGTGAGCAATTTAAATAAATAAACAAAAATATTTTTATCTAATCAAATTAATTTTTCAGTTGGTGAGCCGAGAATCTGGTACTGCGCTTCTGCAACAAAAATGCCCGAAAGCACCGCGTCTATCACAGTCAACTTCGATCAAAAGTTCAAAGGATGGCAGGTTCCGTCTAAGCACGGTTGCGGAAGCCAGAGCGCATTGGACTACGACAGGATAGCTCAATCTAACATCTACTGCACCAATCCTGATGTTCTTCGCAAGGCTGAGGAGTGGGAGATCAAGGACGAGGCGCATAAGGACGAGTTCAAATATCTCTTCACGCTGAACGTTCTGCCACTGAAGGTTGTGCCCGCCCATAGTGTCAAGATGCAAGCGCTCGACCCCGGCAAAAGGATTGATGGGAACAAATTTCCAAAGTGCGAGCTGTCCCTCAGACTGGTAAGGTTTTTATTGATAAATTTAAAATATTTTGTTTACAAACTTGTTTTTTAGAGTGGTAACTGGTTCAAATTGCTTGGTGGTAGTGCTCCTCCTGGTTCAAAGCCGACATCTGATCCCGCTGGAAGCACTGGTCCTGATGAAAGCACTGCTCCTGTTGAAACTACAACTACTGCACCACCATCTGAAGCTTCCGGCAGTAACTTGGGTCTCATCATTGGCATCGTCATCGCCGTTGTAGTCCTGTGAGTTTTATATTTTTGATTTGGATTATTTAACAAAATTACATTCAAAATAAAATTATAGGCTTGCTGTAGTTGGTGGCCTTGTCTGGTTCTTCGTGCTCCGCGGAAAAGGTGAAGAAGAAGAGGGAATGGAAATGGGAATGACCGGTGCTGGAGGTACGAAGACCAAGACCAAAGTTGGTGGGACGACCGTTGGAGCGACCCAAGCAAAAACCGGCGGAATGACTACTGTTGGAGGGACGCAAGCCAAAACCGGTGGAGCGACAACTGCTGGCGGTGCTACATCGAAAGCTGCCGGGACAACGAAGGGAGGAGCGACATCGAAGGCTGGAGGGGCAACGTCGAAGAAGTAGGGAGGAGCGGGAGAGAAGAAGAGAAGTGAAGATAATTGTGATAGGATAATATATCTAAAATAATTCAACATTTACCTAAATTGTATCCCAATAATTATTTTCCTCTTCCCTCATATAATATATCTTCCTATATATTTGCGCGCATTGGGAGTATTATACTACTACCCTATTTTGTATATATACCATATCTTGAAATGTATATTTGTATATTGTTTGTGCGCTCTATTATAATATATGTATGTTGTATGTATTGCTAAATAAATATTGTATTTGAATTTGTGTTTTTGATTTTTGTTTTAGGGGATGGGTAGGGATGGGTTTAGGGATGGCTTTAAGATAGTGAAAGGTTTTTGGAAAATGGGGATTGGAAGGGTTACCAGTTGGACTTTTTCTTGATCTGAAACCCGATTTGAGAAATTTCCCAAAACTTCTCCTTCAATTTCCTCAAAAACACTTTTTTCAATGTAGTAGAAATTGCTGATGTCGATGATTTTTCCTCTGACTTGTCTTATAAATTAAACCGTGTCATATCTGAAATATGATACGCCCTCCCTTTTTGGAGGTTTTCAGGAATCAACCCATACTCAAAATTAACTGATATATTTGTATTGAGTTGATAGAGAATTGATTAGATTACTAGAAAAATAGATTTTTTACTTTCGAAATTTTTCAAAAATTTGATGGCGCTAAAAGGAGAAAATTTTAGCTTCCAAGACCTTCCAAAATTCAGAGACTTGAAGAAATATTCTCTACACCAAACTTGCCTCGAAATAAAATTGAAAAGTGCCGACAATTTACAAGAATGGCAACATCGACAATAAGGTATCGAAAATAGAAATTCTTGACTCTAATCATAATTTAACAACATTCCCCCCCTTCTCCTTCAGTCAAGAAAAAATCAGGGAACTTTAAAAAATGGCTCGACCGACTTTGGATCCAAGAAAAATTGATTTAGACAGGCCGACTCTAATTCTCGAGTGAATTTAAAAAAAATATAAATTTTTGTTAACCAGAAAAATCCTTTTTAATATAGAAAAATAAAAAAATGAGTAAATAAATCTTTTTTTGTGGTAGAGACTTTTTAAATTTTTTAAATAAGGAAAGTTGACATTTTTCAAAATAAAATTTAAAAAAAAGTGCCCTTTTTGAATTCTTTCTTCTTTTTTAACTTCTTCAATTTTTCTTCATCTTTTTTGCGATCATTTCTTTTGCATATACGATTCCAATTCCATATCCAATTCTTCTGCAGTTTTTGTGCGCAATTTTGTTGCTGATTCAGCAAGTTTTTTGCCAAGTCGTGCTTAAAATATTTATTTTTAATTTTATTTATTATTACGGTCAGCAAGCCCGTAGCCAAGGAGAGAGCCCCCCTGAAAAAAATTCTGGTTACGGGCCTGCCTGTCAGGCACGTCACCAAGAGTTAACCCCAAGAAACAATACTAGTCAGAAAACACAAAAAAGCCAAACCTTTACGTCCAGCAGCCCCAGCTCTAACAACAATAACCTTCTTTACACCTTTACGGCGTATTGAATTCCCTGAAACACGGCGAAGACGATCACGAATACTTGGTTTTCCACCAGCCAAAGAAGCTGCTGTAGCAGATGCTCCGCTTTCAGAAACAATGCAAAATTTGATTTCTTGACCTGATTAAGGAAGTGTTTTTAATATAAAATTAAAAATAAAAGATTTTTAGGGAGAGAAAAGGAACAATTTCCAAATTATTACAGGGAATGTGTCATTAAAGATTAATTAATTTCCCGGCTTAATATATTTCTAGTGACCCACTACACCTATTTACATATAGTGCCGCTGGCAGCTAATGACGCAGAAAAAATTCACCCGTGGCTCCTCCCTCGAAAAATCCTAGTCATGGGCCTGCAAATGCGTGTTCCCACATTTTGTGTGTAGGACAGAGATGTCACGGATTGTGCAAAAGGAAGGCCAAAGTTCGGGTTATGTACGGATATCGAGTAACCCGAAAAATCAATGGTGCAGCGGAAACTACTTAAGACTCCGTGAATCCCATTAAGAATCCCAGTACACTCCCCAATCCCCTTTTATTATTAAAAAAATTAACCATCAATGGCAATATCCTTAAATTCTCGAATAATTTCCGCAGCAGTTTTTTGATCAGTGAATAAATCGGCTGTCCCCAAATGATTCCCCATCTCATCATAATGAACAGTAACTCCATAACAATTGTATTCTTGAAAAAGCTCCTTAAATATAAGGCTTTTAGTTTTTAATAATTGAAAGAAATCCTTTGAAAATTCTGTGGGCTTCTTATAATTAAACACAAGTCGATGAAACAATAAATTACTGCAAAATCATAAAACACAATTTTTGTAAACAGCGACCCCAAAAAGTCATTAAGAGAGAGAACGTTGTGAAAATTTGAGGAAGGATTCTAATCTTTCATGATTTTGTTTTTTGCTATTTTTTGCTTGTAATTTATCCAGGAATGAAAATTCGGACGTCGGAGGGTTAGAAAAAGTCAGTTGAGCCAACCTGAAAATTTAAATAATAAATTCATATTTTCTAAAAAAAGGTACTTGTGGGTTACCCAAACCAATTCTTGCGGATTCATTTATATGTCAAGAATAGTCACTTTCATTATACTCTATTACCCTTCGGCATATTCCAAGAGACATTAATAAAGAAAAGATCATTTTTACGTTTTCAACAATTCTAAAATCCTAGTTCAACAGGGAACTAGAGGGGAACTTAATTACTTAACGGGAAATTAATGAAGTCAGAACATCCTATGCATATAGTCCGCATAAATCTGGTCTAGGATAAACCACAAGTACCAAAAAATAAAGAAAACCTCCAAATCCGAAGTAATAACACTCTCAGGCAAACTCAAAATCTGCATTTTAACCATTCCACTCTGACCGCTTCCAACAGCTTTACGAGCTAAACGAGCACCAATTCCACCCCCAGGTTTGTTGCTGCGAACAGAAGCGAGACGAGGAATTTGTTGACGCTTCTTTCCACTCAAAAGTCCTAGAGCTTTAGCTGCTCCTTTTTTGGCTCCATAAGTCTCAAAATATTTGTCATGCTTCCAACGGCCAGCTGGGACTTCCTTTAAACAAAAATTTTGTTAGAAAACGTTTTCAAAGGAAAGCTTACTCCAGAAACAAATCCTCTCTGTGGGAAACGAGTCCTTGCACTAGTACGCGGTCCTTCACCAACAGCTGCTTGAACAGCTCCAGCACGTGTAATACGTCCACCAGCTCGAACTCCGCTTCGCTTTGTTGGTTTGCTTTGACTAATAATTTCGTCCAATGCGAGTGCCAAATTTGCTGCCATTTTTTAGTAAATTAGAGAGAAGAGAGTTTAAAATTTCTGTTTAAAATAAATTATATTAAAAAATGTCAGTTAAAAATTAAATAAAGGCCAAAAAAGACGTCTAACGTTGAGTTAAAATGAATGAAAAAAATTTCAGACAAAGACAATTTTATAATTTATTATAAAAACCACGTTTCAAAGAATTTCATGTGATTCTAGAGCGTCTTTCGAAATTCATTTTACAGTCAATTAACAAGTTTTGCCATGGTGACGAAAATTGAGAGAAAGTGTGTGTATTTCTGAGAGACTGAGTGAGAAAAAGAGAAAATAATTTTATTGAATAAATTTTGGTATTATGTAATTTTTTGTAGTTGTTTACACTTTGAAAATTACAAAAATATTTCAAATTGGAAAATTGAAAATTGGGTAAAAGCAATAATGCCGGCTTTTCTTTCCTTTTTAACCTAGATCTTTTTTGCCTGTTTTTTAATTAAATTTAATTTTTTTTGTTAAAGAATGGCTAATCGTACATCTCGTGATGCTCATACAGTTAAAGGAACAAATCCTCAATATTTAATTGAAAAGATTATAAGAACTCGTATTTATGATTCTATTTATTGGAAAGAACAATGTTTTGGACTTTCAGGTTTTTTATATTTTAGAGGGTTTTTTGTAAAATATTTTGTGTTATTAATGCGGGGAAGGGCTATATTAGTTTTTCGCGATCATTCGGTGAGTTAAAAAATTATAGGACCAAACTAGGGATTTTGATTTCTGAAAAGCCTGGGCCTGCTTCTGGACTCTGGGTGATTTATTGACCTAGGCTGGATCCTGGGCCCAGGAAAAACCCAGGCCTCGGAGAACTCACCCAGCTCGATCTTTAGACTAGACCAAGTGTCTAAAAGTTTTATCTCTTGTTTGGCAATTACGTATGGCTCCTTTCCTTGTTCGAAGTCTCGGAAAATCTTTGATTGTTTTTGGTTCATATGGTTGCCAAAGTCGTGATAAAGAAAATTTGGATGGAATAGAAAAAGGGCATATGAAGTTCAAAATTCCCTCTAGTCTTCCTTAATTTTTTAAATCCCTTGTCCATTTTACAATTTAAAGCCTTTCAAATGCCTTTAAGACCAAAATATTTTTTTCTAGCCGAAACAATAATCGATAAAGGCATGGAACTTCGCTTTATTGGAGGCATTTATGGAGGCAATATTAAACCATGTTTGTTAATTTTTTTAAATAAAATTAATGTCTTATCAATTTCAGCACCTTTTCTTTGTTTAACACTAAAATTGTTACAATTACAACCTGAAAAGGATATTGTTATTGAATTTATTAGACAGGATGATTTTAAGTAAATTTTTTTGAATTTTTTAAAAAATTTTTCAAAAAATTTTTTAATTTCTAAAATTTTTTTTCTAGATATATTCGAGCTTTGGGAGCAATGTATATTCGTCTAACTTTTAATTCTGTGGAAGTCTATAAATATTTGGAACCGCTTTACAATGATTACAGAAAATTGAGATATATGAATAGAATGGGAAGTTAGTTTTTTTGAATTTTTTTTTAATTTAATTTAATAAAAGTTATACTTTAGCAAAAATTTTTATTTTTTCCGAAAAAAAATAAATCGACAAAAATTATAACACAGATTTTGGTAATCAAAATTAAAATTTTTCTAAAATTTAAATATTATTTATTTCCAAAAATTGGCTAAAATATCTTTTATTTTTTTAAAAATTGAAATTTTTATTTTTTAAATTTTTAATAATGGTGTTCACTACCGTTTACTAACCGGTACTTCCGATTTTCGGTTAATCCAAATTTTAAAAACCCTTTTTCGGTTTTGAATTTTAGACAAATACCGATTTTATTTTGTGGGAATTTTTTTAAATTATTAATTTTTATGAATTTCCGGTCTATAAAATTCTTAATTTTTGGCAAAAAAAGTCAAAAATTCCGGTTATAAACCCAGTCGTGGACAACCCTAATTTCTAACATAAAATTTAATTTTTTCTAATTTCTCTAGAATTTGAACTTCTCTATATGGACGATTTTATTGATAATTTAATGAGAGAGGATCATTATTGCGATATTCAATTACCTCGTTTACAGGTTTCTTTAAAAGAATTTTAAAAATATTTTTTTCTTTTTTAAACAGAAAAGACAAGCATTGGAAGAAACAGACCAATTAGAAGTTTATCAGTCTGCTTTGGATGAAGATTTGGAAAGACTTTCATCTTCTGAGGATTCTGAAGACGAACGTGACCGTCGTAGGAGATCGAGGCCTAGCGTTGGTTTTTTTAATTTTCTAAGAATATTAATATTTTTGGAATTTTTTATGTCCCACTCCCTTTCTATTTGAGTCCCCGATTGCTTTTTTCATTTCAATTTTTTTCAAAAACGGCATAAATAATTTTTTAATTCCTTCATTTATTGGTACCTATAAAAACTTGTTTTTTTTCTTCTGAATTCTATTTATGGATATAAAAAACAAAAGCAATCTGAGACCCAAATAGGGGAGGAACAAAAGCCAAAAAGATTTAAAGATGACTTCTTTATGGCTATTTTCTTTGATTTTATTGACTAGAAGAAAATTTCCTCATTATTCTTCCTACCTACCTTGGTTTGAATTATTCAAAAAATAATTCTTATATTTTTTAAAAGAAAATTAAATTTTCTAAAAATTTAAGATTGTTTCGCGTCGTCGAAGCCGTACTCGTAGTCGATCTAGAGAACACAACAGCAGTAGAAGTTATGCAAATCAAGAAAGGGAAATTGAGGAAAGTAATGCAATGAGGAAGAAGTTGGGATTGGCTCCTTTAGAGCGTTAAAAATAATTTTTTTAATTTACAAAAATATTTTTTGAGCACTATCGTTCAACTTTAAAGTATAAGGGCATATTTCGTTCTTTTTTACACCACATAATAAAGAAGTTTTCTACCAAAGCTAATCAGTTGTCTTAAGACTTGCTCAAAAATAAAGCTTCACCGAAAGTTCCGGTAAGCTCCGACGAAATTTTTGGAGTTCCAGGATCCGGAACCTATTTTGGATTCGGTTCCGGTCAAAATTTCGGTTCTGTGAAACACTAAAAATAATATTGGGAAGGCTAAAAAACTAAAAAACGACTGCTGAAAATTAATATAAAAATTTTATTTTTAAACAATAAATAAAATATTGTACAACAATAAATTTGGAAAATTAAAAACAAATTTTGTTTAAAATAAAAATATTTTTTCTTTACATCACACTCAAAACAAACTTCGAATAAGGCCAATTGCCGCTCCTATTCCTGCACCAACAGCTGCTCCAACAGGACCAGCAACTACAGTTCCGGTAGCTGCTCCACTCATAATCCCAGTCGCAACATTGTCGACCTTTAATAAAAATTAAAATAATTAGTAAAAAATGAAATTTTGAAGGTCTAAAAGTTTTAAAGTTATAGAAATTTTGAAAGTTTATAGTAATCGGAATTGCGTGTCGTACTGCATTCCGTATCTCATTCCGCGCCGTATTACAGACTAATCCTGTTAACTATAGAGTAATTTTTTATCAGTACCATATTACGGTAGGAAAAAAATTTTCGGTGTAGTATATACGGAATACCGGAAAATACAGCTGTAGTAACGGTGCTGTCCGACCACTAATTTTCACATAACAAAATTTAATATAAAATTTTACCGTTTCTTTCTCGGTAGTCATATTAAAATAATTTTTTTTGTTTTTAGAAAAATATTTATTAAAAGTATTTTTATCTAGATTTAAAAAGTGATACTTTTCGATATTTACATCCTAATTAATAACCTTATAAGGGGGTTATGCCAAATTACTCAAAATGAAGCCTAGGCGTTTTCAACCTGAACCCCATTGTATGTGCTACATAAAAATGGAAGTGGAATTAATTTGTTTGAATTAAAAAAAAAGACAAAAGTTAAAATTATTAAAATTTTGAATGAAAAAATTTAAAAAATGAATAAGAAAGAAAAAAAGATTTTAATTCAAAAAATTATTTTTTTTTCAATTTTTTAAAATATGAAAAACAAGACACGCCCATAAAAAAGATTCTAAAAGAAGTAAACAAGTTTTTTTTGTAAAAACAGAAAAAAATTTTCAATTTTTTAATAAGAAAATAAAATAATTTCCATCCCCATTGATATACTAAAATTTATTAATGTAATAATATTTTAGAAAATTTAAAGAAAATTATTTGAAATATAGTATTATCTGCTTTATTATAGTACAAAACACACTAGTGTACAAATACAAATCTGTGATTTTTATAAATAAAAGATACATTTACTTAGATATACATTGAGATTTCAATATTTTAAATTAAAAAAAGGAGCAACATGGAAATGAAAGAAAAGGAGATTTATTTATTTTATTAAATAAACATTTTGAATTTTTATTTCAGAGAAGATGGAAATTTTTTTCAAAATAAAAAGCTTTGTAAAAAATATAAAGCTTTGAGTTAATTAATTTAAAAAATAAAAATACGATTAGAACGTGAGGGGATTGATCCTAGATGTTTTTCAATACAAACTCGCTAATTTTTCTTAAGTGTAGAGATAAACTTTTTCAAGGACAGAAAACGAATCATTTTGAGAAACACGAGAATATCTAAAGTACTGGAGATTATTTTTAAAATTTAAGTTTGATAGAAGCACTTTTTGACTTAATATTAGTTAGAATAAATACGATATACATATATTAGATATCTTATATCCGATTGAAAGAGCATATACACTCCTCCACAAAAGTATAAGGGCACCTGTATTTTCCAATTTTTTTACTTCCAATGATCCAAATTTTCTGAAAATTTAGAGGATTATGTTTAGATTATGTTTAAACAACTTCACCGATCATCTATCCAAATTTTAAGAAATATGGTAATTCTCTAGTATGTGTATGTATTGTATCCTCCTAAACTAGTAAAATAAATTCAGGCTTTTTCGTTACTTATACAGATCATATAGCTAAATCTTTATCATTTTTGTGATATCTTTATCATTTATCAGTTAAATGTTTATCATCATTTTTTATCTTTTTTTCAAAAAATTTCAATTTTTGAATATATTGGACACTTCAATTTCACAAATTGTCGCAGTATCAATATATCTTTTCATTGTAGGCTTTTCCCACCCACCAAATGGATAACCATATTCATTATAGTCGTCAAAATTGCCTTTTTCATCAAAATTGGAATACAAAAGTGGAGTATCGTTATATTTTCTAGTATTTCCTGTAATTTCGTGCCAATTATATTTATTTGTGTAAAATCCAAATGTCTGGTTTCTTTCTTTTAATGTGGTGACCATTTCCTTAAAAATTAATAGAATTTTAATTCTAATATGTATGAAAAAAATATTCAGAACAATATGATATGCCAAAAATAATAAAAATTTGGCTAAGAACTTATAGAAACTGAACATAGGAACTCAGAACATAGGAACTCAGAACATAGGACTCAAAACTTGTTACCTATTAGGGATGGGCAACAGTGATGTCAAAGTTCCAGTTCCAGTTCTGGAACTAATTAGTTCTAGTTCCAGTTCCGGAACTAGAACTACGGAACTAACGATTATCTGGAACTAGTTTGGAACTAGAACTACGGAACTAGTAAATGTCTGGAACTAGCTTGGAACTGGAACTACGGAACTAGTAAATGTCTGGAACTAGCTTTGGAACTAGTTCTGGAACTAGTTCTTGGGGGTATAATTTTGGCAAAATTTCCTCGAAAATTACCTGCAGCGCGCTGAGTATGGAAGAAATCTGGCCACTTGAGCTCAAAAATTCTCAAAATTTTCGCCTGCGGCGCTAAAAAAAGAAGAAATCTGGTGGCTTGGTCTCCACAAATTCACAAATTTTTCGCCTGCGGCGCTGAAATGGAAGACTTCTGGCTTCTTGGCCTTCCGAAATTCTCAAAATTTTTGTCTGCGGCGCAGAAAATTGAAGAAATTTGGCTTCTGGTCCTCAAAAATTCTTCAAATTTTTGCCTGCGTCGCTGAAAATTAAATAATTATGGGGAGATCTAAGATTTTGAGAGATACCTCCAAATCCTACGTAATCCCACGGTAGCATTATCTTTTTACATATTTCCTAATCTCGGTATCTTTCCAGACTGCATGGTCCACATCATGGATAAGGAGGATAATAAGAGGGAACAGAGATTTGGGTGGATAAGGAGGGATTTGAAAAAAGATAAAGAGTGATATCAATGCTCAAGAGTTGTAAGTTGTATATCAGGTTACTTTTTTTTAACTTTTTGCAGTTACTTTCTTGTCACTCTGTATACTACAGCCATATTTTCATATTCAAAAAAAATTTAAAAATTTGGAACTAGAACTAGCTTGGAACTAGTTCCAGAACTGGAACTGGAACTAAGGAAGGTACTTATCGGTTATCTCCCCACACATTATTTTCCTTTTATTTCCCCTTCTCCTTCATCCCATAAGTTACAAAAATGCCACATTTTTCCCTCTTCTTCTTCACAAAAGTTACAAAATGTCACAGCCTTTTATGTGTCACACCTTTTAGCAAGTATATAAGTACTGGTGCTTGTATATTTCTGAGTTGGAAAGGGTACAAACATGAGGAATTGGAGGTGTGGCATTTAAAAATGTGGCATTTTTGTAACTTATGGGACGAAGAAGGGGAAATAAAAGGAAAATAATGTGTGGGGAGATAACCGATAAGTACCCTAAGGAATTTCAAAAATGGAGTTCCGGAACTGGAACTGGAACTACGAAAATTAAAAACCTGGTTCCGGAACTGGAACTGGAACTACAAAAATTAAAAACCTAGTTCTGGAACTGGAACTAGTTCCAAAGAAATTTTGGAACTTTGACATCACTGATGGGCAATGCCGGAAAAGCGAAAGACGAAAGGAAGCGGAACAGTATGCCTAAATTTTGATCGAGGGTGGCAATATACATATAGTGAACTAAATATGTATTCAATGCCAGTGTTCTTTCGGTTCAAGCAAAAGTTTTGGAACCTTAGAAAGAAACCGTTTTAAAACCGTTCTTACATCAATAAACTCAATATTTTCAGTTTTGCCATATTTATACCACCTATTATCGTCATTACAGCCAATTAAACCATGAATACTTAGCCAAACTCTTCCAAATTTTGCATTATTTTTATTTAAATGATCGAGGACGGTTGTAATAGATTTTCTAAAATTCATAAATTTTAAATTAAATATTTCTATCAATTAAAAGGTATGGGCATTGCATTCCATTTATGCTTCTTTTTAATTTCTCCCATAGAAAAAGAATCTTTAGGGCTTTAAAAAAGCTCAGATCCAATTTGAACTGAAAGAATGGAAATCCCGAAAGTTCCATTAAGCTCTACTTACATACAAATTTACCTAGCATCTCCACATAATTTGTAATTATTAGAAGGCTTAACACAAGGAGAAAAATAAATGTCCACATTTTTAATCCCTGCTGCTCCAGCATTTATTATATTTAATTCTGCATTTAAATCAACTTCTCCTGTGTTGTAATGATCACTTCTAATAATAACAAATTCTTTTGAGTTCTCTTTCAAACATTTGAATGTTGAACTTCTAAATAGGAGTATTTTAATCTCTAATTAATACACGTCCTCCACTTTTCAGAAAAGATAACAACAAAATTAAAACAATTTTACAAAAATTCCAAAAACATGTAAGTATATTGATATTATAAGTATAGAAAAACTAGGCCCGAATCTCTACTTAAAGTCGAGATTCTGACACCTCAAAAATCAACGGGAGTATAAAATATAAAATTATTTTCGACCCCTCATGGCTTAAAATAAATTTTCATTCTAGGCTCATTCGAAAGCACATGAAATTTGCTACATGAAGCTATAGTCATACTTTTTAAAAAAATAACATAGAGAGATACAGGACTTTCTTTTCTGAACATGGAAGTGTATATGAAAATAATTTTTACCTATACCATTCTTCATATATTAAAACACCTTCACTTGTCTTGACGCCTTTAAAAATTGTCAAAAATAAAATGGACACAAATAAAAGAAAAAAATAAATATTACTCATTCTGAAATTTATTTATTTTTAAAAAAAAGAAACGCGATGAAGCCGCGATAAACAAATTTAATTATTAAAATCCATAATTTAAACAAGTAATCCTTAACATTGTAGAAGTAGATTAAAATCTATATAACTAGGAAATTCCATAACTAAAAACCTTTGATTAAAGAGTTCGTTTCTAAGAATCCGAGGGAATCTGTAAATTTCCAGTTAATTCTAAGGAATAAAGTTTAATTTTAATCAAAATATAGGAAAAAAGATAATGTTGGGGAAATCGAAGGTCTTAAATAGGTGAAGATTGCAAAATTTTTTAGTTTGGATGAAATGATAAATTTAAAAAAATGTAAAATGTTAGAGGATGAGACATGGAAACAAAAGGGCAATTTTAGAATTAAAAGAGTGAAAAATTTAAAAAATACGGGAAAGATGAACATAAAATGTTACATTAACAGAAATGAATAATTGAAAAAATATTTTTTAAACATTATTAAATCATTTTGATATGTCGATCATTAACAAAGAATATTCCTTCGAGTATTCCTAAATGAAATGAAGAACAGACAATTATTCTGTTCGGTTCTCCAGCTTAGTACAGATATAAGATTTCACGAAAAAGTTTTACGTCCGTCCGACAAATTCCCTAAAAAACTCTACTACATATCAAAATAAAATCATACTATATTCATTTATAAAAAAATTTTCAATCAACAAAATAATTTGAAATAGATATTATAAATACATAGAAGACTATTTTAATAAATATTCGCTTTTTAAACTTACATTTTTTTGCAGAAAAAATTTTCTTGGATATTTTTGAGGGAAATTAATAACGGTTGTTTATAGGAATGAGAGGCTGAAAATAAATTTAATAAATAAAAAAGTGAAATGTTGTAAGTTGGAAAAATAAACACAAAAGAATGACAGCTAAAAACATAATAAAAATAAGTGTGAAAAAAGTTTGTAACATAAATGTGAATAAAGATAAATGTTTTAATCTATCGTTGTCATAAATCTGAATTTTTATCTGTCATTTCCTTTATTCCCAGATAAAACTAATTTTTTTTAATTTTTTGTATTCTTTGGCCTTTCTAATTTTTATATTCGTATATTTATGTATCTGTTTTTAGTGCATCGGTCAGTCATAAATCCTATGAGTAATAACGAAAAATGTACAAAACTTTTTTCCAAAAAGATAATTAAATCTTTTGATTTTCCAGCGACAAAATTTTGCAAGTTTTTTCTTTTGTTCTTCATAGGATATATGAATAGCCGATGATTATACACTAAAAATATGGTTAAAAATAGAGTGGCAAATAATGCAAATAAATAAAATAAATAGGTGTAAGAATAAAGGAAATTGAAAAAAATAGAAAAATTTTAATCCAAATCTAAAGCCAAAAACAAAAAAAAACACAAATCTATGGAATCAATTATAGGCCATAATTGTCGAATAGCGAGTTTAAAATCGCATAATTACAAAATAAATATGATTTTTAAAAATTTTCAGAAAATTAAAATGTTACGTCTTGTTTCCTTTAATTCTTCGTCTTGTTTCGTTAATTAATGAAACGATTTTAAAAAATTTTTTTGCTATTTATTCCATCAGGAAAAAATTTTGGAATTTTGCCTATGTCCAATTAAAATGGATTACAATGCCAAATCATATTTGAGTAGCAAATTGGGCTTACAGAAGACAAGTGTACCGTCATGATGTTGAACGAATAACCCGATGATACATAACTAGTATATTTACAAGAGGGCAAATGATAAGTTGGGGGCTATTGAGAGATTTTTGTCAAAATTAAAAAATATTAAAATTAAAAAATGAGTGAAAACATTTGTAAAAAACTCGGTTTTTAAGTTTTTAAACACCTAATTCATATTTAACCACTGATTATAGCCATCCAAATTTTAAGAAACGTACTATCTTAATTATCCAATAGGGGGTATATCTTCCCATTCTTGCCTCCTAAAATAGTAGAATAAATTCTGGGTTTCGTGTTATTCATATCCGATGGTCAAATCTTTATCATTTTTATGAATCTTTATTATTTATCAGTTAAATCTTTATCATCATTCTTTATCATATTTAAAAAATTTCATATCTTCAATATATTACCCACATCAATTTCACAAGTTGTCGCAAAATTGTATTCTTTCATTGTAGGCTTTTCCCACCCACCAAATGGATAACCATATTCATTATAATCGTCAAAATTGTTTTCATTATCCAAATGAATATACAAAAGTGGAGTATCGTTATATTTCCTAGTGTTTCCCGTAATTTCGTGCCAATTATATTTATTTGCGAAAAATCCAAATGTCTGGTTTCTTTCTTTTAAAGTGTTGACCATTTCCTTAAAAATTATTATTAATGAAATAATTCAAGTAAGAGAAAGAAATATTCAGGATAATATGCCACAACAAACATTTTGGTGAGATAATAGGAACAACGAAACAATTATTGGAATAGTACATTTATGGAAAGAAACTTTTATTACCTTTTGACTCCGTGCAAAAAATTTTGCAGTTCTAAAATGTAATTATGGCTGATCGAAATAGAAAATTTCTATTTCGAATCTGAGCGAAACGAAACGAAATAAAAATTTAAAAATACAAATTTTTCACCTCAAAAAGTGTTTTAATCATCATTAAAATAATAAATATGCACCCTAAGATTTAAATTTTTGACAAAAGAATCTAAAACCCAAGAGAAAACCTTCCAGATCTACAGATGTCCACTCTAATCGCTTTGAACCTAAGTGGAAAAAATCTCACGGATAAGCAAAACAAAACGAAATTTTGATCAGCCTTGAATGGAACCGGTCGATTTTTTAGCACTTTCTACTATTATTAAATATTTAAAAAATCCTTACATCAATAAACTCAATATTTTTAGTTTTGCTATATTTATCCCATCCAACATTACTATCAGAGTCAACCAAACCAAAAATATATAACCAAACCCTCCCAAATTTTGCATTATTTTTATCTAAATGATCCAGGACAGCTGTAATAGATCCTCTAAAATAAATTAATTTAAAAGCACATTATTTCTGTAAAAGTTTGGCACTTAAAAGGTAGGCTGGTTATTGTATTTCATTTAAAATTTATTTTTCTTCCTTCCCTGCAGAGTTGGTCGGAATTTTGATTTCCGGCGTTTTTTCCTTCCGATTTCCGAAAAAATTTTGATTTACGATTTCTGAGTTCCGACTTTTGAGCCAGTTGCGATTTCCGGCTCTTCCGATTTCCGACACCTCTGACTGTTCCGACCCACCTCTGCTTCTCTGCAACGAAAAGATGAGATCCAATTTAGAAATAAAAGATTGGAACAGGAACAAAAAAGTCGAAATCAAGAATCCTAAAGGTAACCTAGCTCTACTTAAATACAAATTTACCTAGCGTCTCCACAAAATTTGTAATAATGATAATCCTTTTTAACACACGGAGAAAAATAAATATCCACATTTTCAATCCCTGCTGCTCTAGCATTTATTATATTTAATTCTGCATTAGTATCAACTACTCCTTTGTAGTGATTACTACTACTAGCACGAACAATAACAAATTCTTTTGAGAATTTTTCTTTTAAACATTTAAATGTTGAAATTCTGAATACATATTATATTCTAATCAGGTATTAATAGGAAAATAATTTTACCGATACCAACTTTCCCATATCAAAACTCCTTCACTTGTATTGGCATTTTTAAAAATTATTCCAAATAAAATAGACACGAATAAAAGAATAAAATAAATATTTCTCATTCTGAAATTTATTTTATTTCTTATAGATAAAATTGAAGATTTCTTACATTATCTAATTAAATTTAATAAAATGATTTATCTACATAAAAGACACTAAAACTACCAAAAGGACGCAGGATCGACGCCTGCCCAGGATTAGCAATTACATTTAATTAAAGTTGGGTGTTCCAGCGGACCTACGCATCTCTGGTAGATTCTGAAAGGCTTTACAAAACAAAATTTGATAAGCCAAAAATAATGTATTCAAGCAAATTTAGATGAAATAATTTTTATAACTTAATGTCATTAAGTATGTAGCAGGGATGGACAAGCTTCCGCGTTCCGCCTTCAGCCGAATTCCGCTTTTTTTAGGTTTATAAAAAGCTTCTGCTTTTTAAAATTGAAAATTCTCCATCCCTGGTATGTAACTAAATGATTGTTGGATTGAGTGATATTTTTAGGCTTTGAGGCTAACAGTTAAAAGATTGTTTTATCTAATTTTAAACGAAATAGAAGGAAAAAGTTAATGTTGGAGAAATTGTAATAGCTTAAATAAGAGAAGATTGCATCAGTGTTTTAAGGATGAAGATTAATTTTTAAAAAAAAATTTAAAAGGTTAGAGGATGAGACATGGAAACAAAAGGGCAATTTTAGAATTAAAAGAGTGACAAATTAGTAAAACAAGGAGAAAGATGAACATAAAAATGTTATTAACGGAAATAATTGGAAAAATATTTTTTAAATTATTAATTGTAAAACATATAGCTATTTAATTCCTAAGGTTGTGCAGTAGGCGGCGTGGTGTAATGGCTAAAACATCAGTCCGGTCTACTGAAGATGCTGGTTCGCTCCCAGCTGCCGATTAACCTTTTGCTATAGCCTAGCTGCCTTACTTAATCATCTTGATATGTCAATCCTCGACAAAGGCTAGTATTAGCAGTACTACATATTATACCTCGAGTAGTACTACATGAAACGAAGAACTGACAATTGTTCAGTTTGGTTCTCTGGATCAGTACAGATATCAGATTTCACACAAAACGTTCAAGTGTTACTTTCAAGCAAACATACCTTTTATTTCTTAACCGTAAAAATATACTCTCCCTATAGGACTAAGATTAGGCTCAAAAAGGCTAGAAATGGATCTCTGACAAGAAAATTTAAAAACAAAAAAAATATTCATTTTCAAATTAATAATAAAAAAAAGAAAGAACAAATTTTGTTCAAAATTAAATTCAGAATTAAAATAATTCATTTCTTATTCTCTTCCGCGTCCATAACAAGACTTTTGATTGATCCAAAAATAAACCCAAACATGCCACCAATTAATGCGCCCGGAGGTCCGCCAACCATACCACCAGCGGTAGCGCCACCAACAACGCCATCCCCAAGGTTATCAAGCTAAAATGAAAAAATATTTTGATATCAATTTTTAGACTAGGCTAATTTTAAGGCTAATTTTAATTTATTTTAAATCCAAATTTACTGAATTTAATTAATAAAGAATTTACAATATCTTTTCCAGCAACCATGTTTATTTGTTAAATTTATAATGAATTGTTGTTTTTAGAAAAATGAGCAAATGGCACTGTTATCTACATAAATAATAAAAAATTTTAAAGAAATAAAGGAAAAATTAAAGAAGGTCCCTTAATAAATCAAAAGTTCAAGTCTGACTGTCAGTAAAATTAATAGCCAACTATTTAAAAAATTAAAGTATGAAATGAATGAACATTAATAAAATTTTTTTTATTTTATATTTACATTTATGACCTTGTTTGTATTAAAAAGGGGGAGGAGTCTACATATTTATTTGGCCAGTTTTACATAAACATCTACTTCTGACTGTCAATAAAAAAAACAAAACTGAGACAAATGAACAAAAATAATAATATTTGTGTTTATGCAAAACTTTTCGATTTTGTTCATAAAAGAAATGATGTATGTAAATAGTTGATGAAAAAAGAGGGGAGTTCTCTGTTTTGTCAAAAATTTAAATAAAAAGTAAATGTTCTTTAGATTTTGTTCAACCTATTTTTGTATCTTTTGTGAATAAATCCATCAAACATTTTTTTAGAAGATCTAAAAAAATTTATAGAGGAAAATTATTAGGCGATCTGATTTTTTGTAAAATTATTTTTGGGGTAAAATTTACCTATAGTGGTTTTTCAAGTCAAATTGACCTATTTTTTAATTTTACAAATTATGACATTTAAATATTCATTTTCCTTGTTTAGTTTTGATTGACAAATAAAAAATCTCCTTCATTTTAAGGCTCATTGACAATTTACTTGACCGGGCTTTTTGTTTAATTTATACATTCTTATAGGATAGATAGTTAAAATTTTGGCAAAATTTGCCTATAAAAAATTTGAAATTTAAATATAAAAAAATTTATTTTCCAAAAAATAAAATATTTTATAAAACATGAAAAATTTTTTTAATAAAAAGTTAAAAAAAAGAACAAATTTTGTTCAAATTATAATTTATTTTTCTTGTCATCTTCAAAATAAACTTTTAATGAACCCAATGACGGTTCCCACTCCCGCACCAATAAGGGCCCCTGGAGGACCTGCAATCATCCCTCCAGTTGTGGCGCCTCCAACAATACCAGTGGCAATGTTGTCTATCTTAAAAAATAATTTGTAAATTTAAAATTATGGCAAAAAGAGAGAAAAAATTATACTTATAAATTTTTAATTATAATTATTTTCAATTCAAAATTAACTTCTGCAAATTTAATAGTTAGTTTAATAAAAAAATTTACAGTTTCCTTCTCATCTGCCATATTATGTACTTTAATTTACAGAAATTTATATAAATAAAAAAAATTTTTTTTTATTTTTTTGATTGATTTCTAAATTTAAAAATAATTTTCAAATGGAAATTAAAAAATTTTTTAAACAAATACATATATAGGAAAATTTTTTAAACCGTGAAAATGTACGTACTTTTATTGTGGAATGCTAAATACTTTTAAGAATTTTTTAAATTATAATTTCAATTTTTCAAAATAAACAAGACACGCCCATCACAAAAGGGAGTAAAAAGAGATATGTTTATGTATTTTTAAATAAATTTTTATTCTAAATTTTGTACTTTCGGAAGGGAATGCTGAATTAATTTTAGAGAAGAATTCAAAGTAAACAAATTTTGTAAAAAATATAAAATTTTGTTTTTTAATAATAAAAGATAAATCTTGGAATTAATTAGTAAAATCCATCTTTATTTGAATTAATCTTTAACATAGTAGAAGGGTATTAAAATTATTACCAGGAAAATTTCTTAACTATCATAATTGTTAAAATCCTTCATAAAAAAATTTGGTTAGAATGGTAGGCTATAATAATTCATGTGGATCCTTGACCTTGCTCTCTGGTCCAAATTTGCTACTCGACCTTGATCTCAGCTTTGTCAATTTCGACGAACATCGGTCTCAGTTTAAAAAAAACACGACATCGCGCTATCCTAAATAAGATGCCAGAATATGTGAAAAACTGAGGAAAAAGGTGGCAAAAAATCGTCTTCTTAAGAGGCAAATCTGTATAATTTCTAATTTACTTTCAAAATTTAACTGATAAAACATGAATTATAAAAAATTCTCATTTTTTTAAAATCTTCATTAACAAATAAGAATTAAAAAATAGTTCTTGAATTGGATTGGAAAGATTTTAAATTTGATAAAAAAAATTGGCAAAATTCGTGAAAAATTCTGTGTTCTTTCAAATATTAATAAGAAATTTTAGTGAAAAAATCATATTTTCAAGAAAAATATCCAAAATACGTGGGAAAAAGTGACAAAATCTAAGAGCATTTACCTAAAATAAGTTACAGCCTAGTTTTGTAGTCAAACTGATATTCAAGCAATAACGACGGATTTGTGCTTGTCTATTTTAAGAAAAAAGGTTATAACCTAAAAATCCGATTTTCAGTCATTAAGATATTTAAAGAAATGTTCGATTAACAAAAAATCTTTTTTAATATCATTTTGTATCAGAATGTACTATATTTCCAACATTTATTTCACAAGTTTCTTTAATTTCGTATCCCTTCATTGTAGGCTTTTCCCAACCACCAAAAGGATAACCATATTCATTATAATCTTCAAAATTGTCTTTACCATCATTATGAATATAAAAAAGTGGGGTATCGTTATATTTTCTGAGATTTCCTGTAATTTCGTGCCAATTATATTTACTTGACATAAACCCAAAATCTTGTTTTCTTCCTTTTAGAGTTTTGACCACGTCCTAAAATCAACGATTTTATTTTTACTAAAAAATATAATAAATTTGCCTCAATAAACTCGATATTTGAAGTCTTATTTTTATTCCATCCAGAAGGGTTTTGACATCCATCCGAAGCTAAATCAACACGAAACCAAACTCTTCCAAATTTTATATTGTTATCATTTAAATAATCGAGTAATTTTGTAATTGACCCACTTAATAAAAAATCATAAACCATTCAAAGTTAGTTTAAGCCACGGTGCTAAAATAATTCGAGTATGGCCTAAATTCACCGGAAATTCCCCGAAATTTTTTTCTGTTTCCCGCCCACTCAATGATGCTTCCGCAGAAATTTTCCAAATCCCTTCTATGGATACAGACCTGTATTTAAACTTTAGGATTCAACAGTCTCCGGAGACGTTGGGAGCTTCCAAGCACTGGGTGGGAGGTTTTTACCTAGTCACAGTCCCCAAGAATTTACCTTCCATTTCCACATAATTCATACTCAGTAGAAGGCTTAACACAAGGATTAATATAAATATCCACATTTTCAATTCCAGCTGCTCTAGCATTTATTATATTTAATTCTGCATCTAAATCAACTCTTCCTGTGTCGTAATAATTTGCTAAGATAATAACAAATTCTTTTGAGTATTTTTCTTTTAAACATTTGAATGTTGAAATTCTAAATAGATTTTAATTATTGTATTTACTCAAAACCTCTTATATTTTTCCTAAACTAATTTTAAAAATATTTATTAAAAATCATTATCAATTTTAAGAATAGAACATTTTAGTATCTATATCAAAAAATAAATCGAGAGATTAAAAGGCTTTCGGGAAGATACAAAGGGATTTGTTTGGATTAAGATATATCGTGGGGGATTAGGAGACATTTGCCCAATATAAGCCTTAATCCTCCATATCTTTAAATTCTTGTATATTCCCTACATTTCCTAAATAATTTGCGATCGACTAGGTGCATTTATATATTCCAAAACGGAAGTATAAAAATGTTTATTCCTCTGGATTCGATATGTATATTGTTTATCCCTGGTTATATTTCTATAATGGATTAGAACATACAAGCCCTCAAATAATTATCCCACTCCTACCCACTCCAGCGAGAGATCGTAACAATAATTTTTGAGTAATAAAATCAGTAATTTTAATATAAAAAATAAATTTTACCTATACCAAGTTGCCCATAAATAAACACCTTCACTTGTCGTAACATTTTTAAAAATTGAAAAAAATAGAATGGACCCAAATAAAAGAAAAATCTTGTCCATTCTAATCTTTTTTTATCTTCTAAAGCAAAATAGATTATTATTTTTTTTATCACCTTATATATTTATTATTGTTTTATTCATCTATTTTCCTAACAAATTGCTTTTACCCAAAACAGGTAGTGGACTAAAACCGCAATATTTTATGGAATGTATATTACCTAATGGGAGGGTCTTAAACATATGGCTAAATCAGATTGCGCAAAAAAATTTTAATAAAAATATTCATAAAACAATTTTCTTTAATTTTTGACGATGTTTTCTAAGTGACACTAATTTGTAAAAGAGCTTGAAACACCAAATTTAAATAGGTCCAATTGGAATATAAGACCCCCGACCTTCTATTACGAAATAATATCCGTTTTCTTGCAAAATCACTTTGGGCAGAGAACTCTGATAGTAAATTATGTAGGTTCAGAGTTAAAATAATTTTAGTTTTTACAAAAATTTAAATTTTTGAATTAAAAAAATTAATTGGTCAAAAAGTCACAAAAAATTAAAAATTTAAATTGTCTCTCATCGTCAATTAGTCCTCGTTATTTTAAAAATCTCACAAAAAAATTCAACAAATAGACACAAAAAATTAAAAAAATTTTTATGTGAGTATGAAATGAAAAGTGCCCGGTTACTTTGAGTGCCGGAAAATTGGGCTCTGGAAAATTGGGCTCCAAGATTTTTCGGAAAATTGGGCTCCAACTTTTCGGAAAATTGGGCTCCAGCGGAAATTTGAGCTCTACGTGAAAAAAACGGAAAATTGGGCTCCAATTTTTTAGGCGCGGGGAATTGTGGGCGTCAGAGTGAATTTTTGAATTTCAACGAAAAGTGATACAAAATCAAACAACGTAAACCTATGGGCGTCGGCGAGGCGCTTGTGCAAAATCCCGCGCTTCGCGCGGGATTTTGCGGCACGCGCCTCGCGGGAGTCAACGGTCGCTGGGTTCTACAACAGTAACATAAACCTATTCCTTTTTACTGATTTTCAACTTTGAAATGCCGACCTACCCACTAATTAACAGTACAAAAATAGTTATTCCAGTGAATTTTGTGATATTTTTCGAATAAATCTAAAAATTCACTCTGACGCCCACAAATCCCCGCGCCTAAAAAATTGGAGCCCAATTTTCCGTTTTTTTCTCATAGAGCCCAAATTTCCGCTGGAGCCCAATTTTCCGAAAAGTTGGAGCCCAATTTTCCGAAAAATCTTGGAGCCCAATTTTCCAGAGCCCAATTTTCCGGACACCGGTTACTTTCTGGTCACCTTGTAACACGCATCAAATGATACAAAGGTTTAAAAAGATTATGACAATAAAGATAACTTGGTAGGACTTACAAACTTAGGCTTTTTAAGCTTTAAAAACATTTTTAGACATAAAAAACATGTTTTTACTAAGTTTGTAAGAAACATATTAGTTTTGAGAACATTTAAGAAAATTTTCCAATCCATTTTTAAACTTAAAATTTTTGAAATTAAAAATACTTTTACATTCATTTTCAGTTATGTTCATAATCATTTCGAGTAACTAATTTTAACGATAAATTTTTTATTTCTAAAAAAACAAATCTTTTGTTTATGAAATAAATTTTATCATTAAATAAAATAAAAAAAAATCCCATCAAATCCACGAAAAAATCCCATCAATCTCGACCAAAATCGGTAGATTCTGAACAAAATTATAAATTGAATTCTCGCTGCCAAGGATTAGTTTAATGTAGTATTTTCCGAAAAATCTTGGAGCCCAATTTTCCATTTTTAAACTTAAAATTATAGTTAGCCATACAAAAATAGTTAGCCACACACCATGTTCAGCCACACACCATATTCAGTATAATCATCAAAATTGTCTTTTTGATCGACATTATAATACAAAAGTGGAGTATTGTTATATTTTCTAGTATTTCCTGTAATTTCGTGCCAATTATATTTATTTGTGAAAAATCCAAATGTCTGGTTTCTTTCTTTTAAGGTGTTCACCATTTCCTTAAATTAATTTAAAAAATTATTTTAACGAATTTTTTGGATAAATTGTCATTTTTGACATAATGCCAAAATAATAAAAATTTTGGTGAGATAATAAAAAATAAAAGAGGCCCGTTGGATAGAACTTTTAGAAAGCAAAAATAGTTATTTAGATGTTGCTTGATTAAACAAATTAAATATTTTTTGGATCAAGTATCTAATTGCAAGGATGAGCCCGTGTTTATTTAGATACTTTAGGCACCCATTGTTGGTGTTCTCTTGGCCCCAGGAAATCCCAAAATACTGTTAATTATATTAAAAATCCTTACATCAATATACTCAATATTTTTAGTTTTATCTTTATTCCAGCCTTCATATTGGTTACAGCCAGTTAATCCATAAATATATAACCAAACCCTTCCAACTTTTGCATTATTTTTATTTAAATAATCGAGGACGAAAATTATAGATTCTCTAAAATAAATAAAGTTAAATGAACTTCTCTAAAATAGTTTGGCGGATAAGAATTTCCGGATCAGGAAAAGACTGTATATTTTAAATTTTCGGTTCAGATCTACCAATGCCAAGCATTTCAGAGGAAATTCCTGTACTTTTCTTTATTAAAAAATTTTTGCAATACAATGGCTTTACCTCCTAAAAATAACTAAAGAAACCCTCTCCGTCGTAAGATTTATTTACTATTGTAATAACAATTTCGGTTAGGATATTGGATCCCATTATTCGACAACCTTATTTGGACTTAAAAGGATTTAGGGGCTTTATTCAATTTATATTTTATTTTTTCATTACTTCTCAGAAAGGAAAAGACGCAATCTTTAGGGATGTAGAGAAGCTCAAATCTAATAAAAATTTAAATGTTGGAGCTGTAACCTTTCTCAAAAATCTGATTCAAAAATCCCTCAAGTTGCGCAAAGCTTTTATAAATACAAACTTAACCTAGCATCTCCACATATCAATTCGGAAGCAGAAGAAGGCTTAATACAAGGAGAAAAATAAATGTCCACATTTTCAATCCCTGCTGCTCTAGCATTTATTATATTTAATTCTGCATTGGTATCAACTTTTCCTGTGTCATAATAATTAGCTCTAACGATAACAAATTCTTTCGAGTATTTTTCTTTTAAACATTTGAATGTTGACACTCTTAATGGGTTAATTAATTAAGCAAGAAATATGGAAAAATAATGTCTACCTATACCAAGTTTCCCATATAAAAACACCTTCACTTGTCTTGACATTTTTAAAAATTGTTAAAAATAAAATGGACATTAATAAAAGTATAAAATAAATATTGCTCATTCTGATCTTTATTTTATTTTTTATAAATAAAAACAAAAAAAAAGATTTTTACTTTTGTTATCGCTTAATTTATTATGTATTTATTTTTAATTATATGAATTACCCAAAAACAGGTAGCGGACTAAAACCGCAATGAAATAGGAGGAATTAATTAGTAAAATCCATCTTTATTTCAATTAATTTTTAACATATTAGAGGGGTATTAAGAACTATAACCAGGAAATTCCTTGACTATTGAATGGTAGGTTCTAAAAATTCCTGTGGACAGACTGAAGAATCAAACAGAAAAACCCACGGACTGTTCAGACCAACTCTAATGTCGAAAATAGACCCCACGGATATCAGAGCAATCCCGAATCGACATCCTCGAAACGTTATTGGGCTCAACAAATGATCAACAAATGATTGCTCAACAAACAACAACTAAACAAAACAGAATTTAGTAAACCAGAAACAACTAATTAAAGCTAAATGAATGTAAATATCGTGAATCAAATTTATTTGAGAAAATTTGTTGATAATGTGATAACACAAATTATTTATGTAAATAAATGATTACAATAAAGGGATATAGGCTATTTACAAAAAATGTTCAATTAACATAAAATCTTTTCTATATCTTTTTTATATTACCAAAATCTATTCCACAAGCTTTTTCATTTTCATATTCCTTCATTGTAGGCTTTTCCCAACCATCAAATGGATAACCATATTCATTATAATCATCAAAATTGTTTTTTCCATCCAAATGGAAGTAAATAAGTGGAGTATCGTTATATTTTCTAGTATTTCCTGTAATTTCGTGCCAATTATATTTATCCGTATAAAATCCAAATTGCCGTTTTCGTTCTTTTAAGGTGTTGATCATTTTCTTAAATTTTAATAAAAAATTGTTATTTCAGTACATTTTTAAGGGAATAAAACTTTTCAGACAAAATGACAGTTTAGTTTTTAGTGTATTCGAACCCAGGCACATCACAATACCAGGCTGAGTGAAATCAGCAAAGTTACGATAGAAAAATACACAACATAACCCATGAGAGTCGACACTTTCTAGAGCCGGACCGGATCCGGCCGGATTTCTCCGGATTAATCCGGTCCGGTTTTAATCCGGAAATTTAAAAAAAACCCGGATTTGGGACCCGGACTCCGGGAAAATCCGGCCGGATCCGGTCCGGGCCCCGGTCACTAATTATCATGCTAAAATTGTAAAAGATGTACCAATGTTGAATTCTTTGTGGACCAGTAAACAAAACAGCACGCAATTGCGGATTGCGTTTGCGGAAAATTTTTTTAAATTTCTTGCATCCAAGTTAAATTTGAAATTTTTTTGAAGAGAATAGTAAAGAATTATTAGTTATCTAAATATTTTTCTAAAGAAATTATTGCTACCTATTTATTTGTTTGTCTTTTTCAATTACATTATAGGAGATGTTAAAAATCAGGGTGTCTCTTCCAAAGCACTTCAATAAGGCGCAATCAGTCCTAACTGCAAGTCTTGAGTTTCACGCCAAAACGTATTTACTTATAATTTTGACATTAAAAGATGAAAGTGTCGAGGGTCTTTGAGGAATTTTAGTCTCTATTATGATGGTCTCAATCATCTCTCTATTATGGTCTCTCTCTATTATAAATTAAATTTTATCATTATAATTTTCTATTTTATTTTGTAAAACTAATTTTATTAAGTAAATAAATACTTAATTTTGTTCCTTTAAAAAAAGGGAAGGGAATGACAATTTTCAATCTATTCAAAATATCCCATTCATATTAACAAACCATCTAAACGAACTAAATAACTTAAACGGGTGGCCCATTTTTGGCGGAGCGGGCCAGTTAAGTTAAACAGAAAGAATTTGACTCGTTTCCGCCAAAAAAGGGCATAGACAAATTATTTGTTAAATAATGTTGCGCAAAGGTAAAGGAAGTTGCGCGTGATTTAATACCTAAACAAAGTAAAAATAAATTTTTTTATTTTTCCACAAAAGTACAGCAGAGCGAACGAGATAAAATTTTGATATTAAGTATCGCAAACGAAAATTTTGAAAAATTTTTAAAGAAAAACGAAATTGCCAACAAATTAACTTTCAAACCCAAACCCTATAAATCGTGGCGAATTGAGCAAGTCTAACGCCTTGACACATGAAAGAAATTATAAGAATATTTTTCTCTTTTCTATTTCGAAATGTGCGGATTTTTCCAGATTTTTGGTTTTTTGATAGTTTGATGAGGAATCTTTTTAGAAATGCGGATTTGCGGATTTTTGTTTATTTTTAAGATTATGAGGATTTTTTTATATTTTCTTGTAGTTTTTAGAATAAATTGGCATTTTTTCTCTTAAAGCCTTCCAAAATTTTCAAAATTGTTTCTAAAAAAGTGAATTATTGGTGCCGAAATCGCTAAAAAAGTTCTTAAAATTTTTTATTTCTACCGAATGGAATTTATTAAAAGTTGAGAGGCGAAAGCATTAGCTCAGGTAAAGTGTAATTTTTTATTTAAATTGCTCAATTTAATTGATGGAGTAAAAAATGGTTTTAATTCAATTTTTGTTTGTTAAATTTCTGTACATTTTTTGTATAAAATGCCGATTTTTTAGATTAAAATTGCGGATTTAAAAAAAATTCGAGATCGAAACCCTGCTATTAATTCCAAATACAAGAAAGTATTTATTGAGAAATAAATTGAAAAAGATACATATTTTGGCTATTCTCCCTTATAAAATATTTTCTTTAAGCTTTTCTAAAATGATCATCTCAAAAAGACGTATTATTCGAATTAGTATACCTTTTATTGTCTTAATTGTTATCAGAAACGTCAAATTAAATATTTGGGTTGCTGACAATTAATAAAACGAAGACAAAAGTTTTAATATAATATTTTATTATAGCACCTTAAACTTGGGTAATTAAACCGAATTAAACAAAGAAATGTGTGAACAAAAAATGTGTGAACGAAAAATGTGAAAAATGAATAAAATCGCGAAATTAATAAATTTATTAAGTTCTTGGGTCGCCACAGGAGAGGGATAGCCAATCATTGTTGTCGGGGCACTCCTTGCCGTTACCGCTCTCTCGGCCAAAGAAGGCTAGGGAACGGTTCCGGCAAGGAGCGCCTGTTGTGGTGTGTTGCTGTCCCAAGTGGGATGAGGAAAGAGTGAAGTGTTGTTGGGAGGAGTGTGCTTCTTTAAATAGTGGGGGTAAATGATTATATCTTCTTTTAAAAATAAGTTATTTACATTACAAAATTATTGTGGGAATGTTGTTGTTAAAAGATGAGGGGAAAAGATTGTAGGCCAAAGAAGGCTAAATAAAAAATCTTTTATTAAAAGAAAAAACATTTTTTATAAAAAGAAAAATTTTTACACAAAAATAAAAAGGAATGTGAATTGATTGGTCGGTGATTCACTTTTTTCACACCGACTGACAAAAGAATAAAAAATAAAATAAAAATTTTATTTTTACCCGGGAACGCCCGAGTCTCGTGTCTCGGGCGTTCCCGACACTCCCCACGTCGTAGCTATTCCCTCAGGAATTGGACCTTAGTTTGGTCCCTGTCCTTTAACTTCCGCATCACTCGTGCTGAGATTCGGTTTAGCTCGTATCTACTGAGGGTGTCGGGTGGTGAAATTGTTTCTAGAGTTGGCTCTTCTTTTCCCTCTTGTATCCGGATTATCGAATGTCTTCTTGTTGCTTCATTATTGTGTGTGGCCTCGATCAGATTGGTGCGCTGTAGTATCTTCTTTATTCCCCATGGGAGTATGTACATGTATAGTATGGATAGAATGTTGTATACGAACGTAAGTTTGAACGCAGTTTCCCAAGACATCCATTGTGTTAAGCTGAAGGTGTAGTCGAACCGTTGGGGTTCGTAATTTTCTGTCGTACTTTTGTCACTCATGATTGCTTGCATGTGTTGTCCTCTGGCGAAGGTTCGAAATGAAGCTAGCAACCTGATTGTTGGGTCGGAGTCGTTCGTTAATTCTAAATTCTTGAAGATGAGCGTGTCCAAAGTTGGTAAGCTCGAGCCGTTTAGTTGGTCTAGCGTTATTGTTTCGGCTTGTGGGTGATTGACTACGTGTCCTTCAATTTGGTCTATTGTGAGTAGTTCTCCTTCCCAAAGCATTGTTTGTCTTCGGTATTTCTTACAACTTCCATTTTTTGACTCCTCTCGAATTATTAGTGATACTGGATCTAAGTATGCTTGGAAATAGTTGTCGTATATACTGATGTTGACTGGTAGAAACTTGAAACAGTTCTTCTCTTCGTTAGGTAGGAATTGCACGTTCTTCTTTTCTATTCGAATGCACTTCTTTACCTCCAGGAGGTTTCGCCCGCTGTTGGTTATCCATCGTGCTTCGATTAAGTCTTGTTGGAATAGGTTTCGAGCTATTGTTGTGGCGTCCATGGCCGTGAACGGGAGCCTATGTAGGCCAGTGTTCAGCAACCAACAGACTGTAGTCTTTAATTTGGTTATGCTATTGAGTTGCGCCGCTGTGAGCTGGCTTGCAAGTTGCTCGGTTTTGACGGTCGCTCTTTTGCTTCGCATTCTTGTGATTCTGTCGAATACTTCTTGTTTTATTAAGTATCCTTGGTCTGACATTACGTAGTCGTGTCCACAGTCTTCTTTTGTTTGAGGTTCTGAAGTGAACGATAAAGCCAGATCTTCTTTGGTCCAAATTTTTTCGGTTGGGTAATAATCTCCGTGCCAAGTGGCGAGATATGTGTACTTGCATCTTACTTCCTCTGTGGGTTTCTTCCAGACGATTAGTGATCCTCCTTCGGTTGGGCATTCTTCATCCTCTAGTGAGCACTTGGCCATGTTGTCGATTGGTGAGTGAAGTGTTTCGGTGGATGGATCAAAATATAATTTCTCGTCGGTTTGGAAACAGTTCGTTCGCTGACTATGCTGTGTGGAGAAATAGCTGTAATCGATTGGTGGGTTGAACTCGTTCAGAGTCCTTTTGATTCCTTCAGTTGCTGTGAGTGGTCCGTATTGGCAGTGGTCGGTCTCGGTCATTCTAAGGCACTCTTCTTTCGAAATCGGGAGTGTTTCGCTGGTGGTCACATTTCTTCCTTCCCCGATTACGTTTTCCCAATACTCTACCTTCTGTTTTACAATGACACACCTACTTGCTGTAACTTCCCTGGCTTCCATATTTACCCGATACACTTGCAGTCTTAATTTGACCTTGGTACCCGGTAACCACTCTGAACAAGACATACCTCGATGTTGTAAGTCGATCACTCTTGCGGGGGCCACCTCATTGCACATCATTGCCGACTGCCCGACGGTCCATCTGAACTTGGAAATTAATAAAATTAGTAAGAGTAAGGTCCAATAAAGTCTTTTCTTGCCTCTATTCTGCGGCCCAGGAGGGCTTGCAAGTCCTAGCAGGTCCAAAGAAGGACGCGCGGCAGGCCAGATGAACCTGTCCCGTTGTCTGCCCATGGTGGTCGTAGTTTTTCTTAACGTCTCGCTTGTTACATTTCTAGCTACGTTGTTGTTGTTGTCTGTTGGGTCTCGCACAAAAATTGGTTGGGTCCCATCTTCTGGCGTTCTTCGCTCCATTCCTTCTGCTGTGATGACCATCCCCTGGTAGGGGAAGCTAGCAAAGTAGTCGAAAAAGGCGAGGAGTTTCCAAGCCGTATCTTTTTTCAAATGATGGGTCCTGCTGTGGAAGTGAGCCAACATAATGTTCCATGCGTAGCTATTCAAGAAATGATGAGTGGAGTCATTCAGACCTTTCCCTTTGGACCAGATTTTCAGGATGGTGCTTAATGTCCCCAAACGCTGCCCCTTGATGTTTTCCTTCTGCCATCTGGCGCTTTCTATTACTTTGGTGCCCGCGTATGAAACATCGATTTCTAGCTCTTCTGTTTTGATGCGAATGATTTGTACGTTGCGGGAAAAGATTCGGAAACAATGATCGAACCAAGCCTCCTGCCGGCATGAAGCCCACAAGTGTCGTTGAATTGATGCCAGTTCTCTTCTTTTTATCTCCGTTGTCACTTCGCCATGCCTTGCTCTCTCGGGCAGCACTGTGATATCCAGGTCACTATCCTTCAAATCTAATTCTGCGGCTGAACTTCCGTACATGTGAACTCTCGCTCTTCCCCATCGTTCAGATATAATTCGTTCTATTTTTCTAGCCAACTTCTTCTTCTCTTCTCTTTTTTCTTCACTGAGCAACCAATCAGTTGCGACGAGATCTAAGTCGGCGGAAAAACCATTCTCATCCCGAGTCATCCAATAGTTGGTGATGAGATTTCCATAATATTGGGGATATTCTTCTGTCGCCTCCGGCCCAAGAGGGCTTGGAGGGACTTCGGAAGAGGTCCCTGCTGCAGTTGTTTGAATATGAAAGATGTTTTGCAACCTGCTTTCTAAGGTCGGTCTGTCGGAAGTGCCTGGTGCGTCGTCCACGGGAGGCTGCCAATTGTTGGACATCATTTCCTCTACTAGTCGTGTCACCGCGGTTGCTCCGCTTTCTGTTAGGAAGCCGTGGCAGTTGATCCAGTCTTGGTTGTTTGGTGCGATGATCATCCGGAACGTTGACTCTGTTTCGCGGGCATCCTTCATTAACTTCTTGAATCCTTTCTCATACTCCTTTCGGACAGACGTGACCTTTGTTGGTGGGAGTATCCAAATAACATTGCGCCAAAGGAGGCTCAGAATGTTAATGAATGGAGTGGTGTCGCGGCTGAATACCTCCCAAGGTGTTTCTCTCAGAATATGTGACGTCCCTAACGAGATGATGACCCAATCGGTTATTGGCGAATAGAAGAGGGTCGTTAGATGTTCCGCACTCTTCGGAATGAGTGTGTAGGCCCCCAGATTTCGTCCAATTTCGGCACAGTATTCCTCGGTGATATGAACCTTCTTTGCTTCCACCATATGTGCATCTCCGATGAAATATTTTGCCTTCATTCGATTGGCTAGTTTCATGATGCTTCCCTCCATCATTTGAACTAATTCATCTAGCCCTTCGTCTTCGATATGTTCTCGCACCGATTCTGGTCTAATTGCGACGTAGTTGTTTCTCTCTATCGGATTCGCAGCCCCCTTACAGTAGACTCTCCAGACCTTCAACGCTTCTTGCAACTCCGTTAGAGTCCACCATACGAGGTCTTTCTGTCCTATTCCCTTCGTTCTCTTCCTCCATTTCTCATGGCTGACCGGGATATCCGCTTTTTTGTATCCAATCTTTATTTGGCCACCCATCTCTCGCCTTGCCTGGCGAGCCATCCATAGAAGTTCCTCTGACGGCGGTGTTTCACAGAACCGTTGCACCCACAACTTTATCTTCTCTTCAACTTTGCCGTGCACCGTTGCCCACAAAACCAAGATTAAGTGGAGAATTGATGGAATTACGCTTTCGTTTTCCTCTTCCATATGCAGGAAGTTCGTTGTCAGCAGGGCCTCACATCTTCTGTGCCCTGGTTGTCCGGGGTTGCAGATCGTGAATAACCCCCAATCATCCGTTTCAAGCGTGCCGTTTTCGAGGTTCGCATCCTGGTACTCGGCCATATCCTGCCATGATGATGGGTCCTCGGGGTCCTGGCCAAAGGAGGCTTGGTCCCCTCGGAACTCTTCTTCACCCGCCCATTGTTCGTCGTCGCTGCCCGCAAGAGAAACGTCTTCCATTGCCTGAAAATTCGAATAGATACTATAAATATGATTTAGTTTATCATTAGTATTTATCCCTATTATTTCTGAGTTAATATTTTGGTTATTATTTATTTTATCGTTTATTTCTAGATTGTAAAGTTTGTTGATTGGTCTTTTCAGAAATTTTCCTTGGACTTTTACTAAGGCGCTTCGAATTTGGTCGTCGGCTCCGGTGTATAGCTTCTCGATTTTTCCCACCTTCCACTGATTTCTCTTTCCCTCACTTTGCTCTATCAAAGTGAGCTCTCCCACTTTAGGGGGTTGATTGTTTTCTAGTTTTCTTCTTTGTCTTTCTAATAACGATGGTAAGTATTCTTTCTTCCCTAAATCCCAATAATGTTTAGCTAAACTTCTGTTTTGTGTGTATCTTTTTATCAATTCTGCTCTTGTGTCTCCTTTTGGGATATATTCTTCTTCTTCTTCTTCTATTTTCAAGATTGGTTCATTGTCTGGGTACGGTACTAAAATTTTCCATGGTGTTATTACTTCATTTATTTCATTTTCTGAAATATATGTGAGTGGTCTTTCGTTTACATACTTTTCGATTTCTGTAAGTAATGTGATCATTTCGCTTAATTTTAATATTCTTCTTCCAATTGTCTTACTTAACGGGTTTTTTACCATTTGTATTGTTCTTTCAAATAACCCGCCTTGCCAAGGTGCTGCTTCTGTATTAAAATGCCATTCTATTCCTTTATTAGAGAGTGTGTCGTTTGTTTCTTTTGGCCTTTGCCAAAGTTGGCTTATGGCTTTATTTGCTTTTTTGAATGTTTTTGCGTTGTCTGACACGATTATTTTTGGTACTCCTCTTCTTGCGATAAATCTAGTAAATGCAGCTAGAAATTCATCTGCGGTTAAGTCGAACACAACTTCAATGTGTATTGCTCTAATTCTTGTGCATACGAAAATCAAACCCCATATTTTTGACTGTTGATTTTTATATTTAACTATAAATGGTCCAAAGTTGTCCAACCCGATTGAACTAAATGGTTTTTCGAATTTATCTTCTATTCTATAAATGGGTAAGTCAGGTGGATTGGGTAGTTGATATGCTTTTGTGTTCTTCTTTGAACATGTGATACAGTATAATTCATTCTTTTTATTGAATATTGTGGCTCTGATTGTTCTTCTTGCTTGTGGTATCCAATATTTTTCTCTTAATTTTGCCAGAACTATGTTTGTACCTGAATGTTTCATTTCTATGTGTGCTTGTTTAATAATCATTGCTGTTATTCTTGCCTTCTTTGGTAAAAATATTGGTTGATTTGCTTTTTCATGCGCTGTTTCTGCTCCTAGTCTTCCTTTACATCTTAATATTTCTTCATTATCCTCATATATATTTAGATTCTTTCTTTCCTCTTCATTTGGTGGATATACTTTTTGTATATTTTTTATTAGTATTTTTTCACTCCTTTCTAACTCTTTTGCTTCTATTGGTCTGATTTCTTTATTTTTATTTTTTGTCGTTTTGTTTTTCCACCTTAATGCTAAAGCTAGCACTCTTTTTGTTTTTATCCATGATGAGCTTCTTGTTGTGTCTATTTCTTCAATTTTTTCTTCTATTATTGTCATTAATGTTATTTCTGTTGGTTTGATTTTTCTTTCATGTTCTTTCGTATTGTAATATGTTTTTGTTTCTGGCCATTCTTCTTTCTCCTTTTTGAGCCAACTTGGGCCTTCAAGCCAGTTTGTATTTTGTATTTCATTCATCGAAGTTCCTCTTGTAGCTATGTCTGCGGGATTTTCTTCACCTTTTATATGCTTTACATTATAATTTCTAATTATTTTTGCTCTATTTTCAATAAATGTTTCTGATCTTTTCTCCGATTTGAGCCATTCTATTACATCTATTGCATCTGTCCAAAGTTGGATTTCTTCTAATTTTAAATCAATTTCTTTCTCTAAATATTTTGCTATTTTTGTTGCGATTTTTAGTGCTTGGAGTTCTAGCTTTGGGATTGTCTTATGTTTATTTGGGACGCTCTTTGGGACTATTAAGCTTTTTGCGAATAATAGTTTAGTTACTATTTCTTCTTTCGATTTACATCTTAAATATGCTGCTATTCCCATAGCTTCTTTCGATGCGTCTGCAAATATCTGTAATGAATTTCCTTCTTTATTAATTTTGTATCTTGAAATTCTTCTTGGTATTTCTAATGGCTCTCCTTCTTGCATTTTTGTTATTTTTATCCATTCTTCTTTTAACTTTTTCGATATTGGTTGATCCCAATCTGATTTTTCTTCCCAAATTTTATGTAATAATAATTTGTATGGTAGTAGCACTGGACTTAGTAACCCAAGAGGGTCGAATGTTGATGCATAATGTGCTAATATTGTTCTTTTTGTCGTTAGTGCTGTTTCTTCCCATTTTTTCAATTTAATTATGTATATATCTTTTTCTGGTATCCATTCGATACCTAGTAACTTTGTTCTTTCATTATTACCTTTATCTTCTTCTGGTATTTTATTTATTATTTCTTTGTCACTTGAAATAAATTCTCGAATATTCATTTTTGCCTTGTAAAACACTTCTTTCAATTGGTGATATATTTTTTCTAATTCGTCCAATTCGTCTGTGCCAACAATTATATTGTCTACATAAATATTCTTGAGAATGTCTTCTTCAATTATATCTGTGTTTTTCTTTAAATGATGTTGAACTACGATCCCTAAATGTGCTGGACTACTAATTATTCCAAATGGAACTCTTTTAAATCTATATGTTTTTATTTTACTTTCTTCATTAGCAGGGTCGGCTGGCCAAAGAAAGCGTAGCGCGTCCCTGTCTTTTTCTCTTATACTTATTTGTAGGAAGGCTTTTTCTATGTCTCCTGTTATTAAATGTTCCTTCAATCTTGTCCTGATGAGTATCCCTGTTAAATCTTTTAATAATGTTGGTCCTTTTTCTAAGCAGTCATTTAATGATTGGTCTGATGCTTTACATTTAGCACTTGCATCGTAAACGATTCTTACTTTGCCTGAGTCTTTCTTTACTACAGGCTGGTGTGGTATGTAGTGTACATGTTCTACTTTCTTTGTTGGATCTTTTACTTCTTCTATTATCTCCAATGCTATTTGTTGTTTAATAATTTTGTCGTATTCTTCTAGTAATTTTTTATCCTTTCTCAACCGTTTGAGTGTTGATATTAATCTTCCTCTTGCTAATGCAAAGTTTGATTGTAAATTACTTGCATTTTCGTTCCAAGGTAGTGATACTTCATATCTGTCTCCTGTTTCTTCAGGTGTTTTTATATCATTTTCGAATTTGAACCATCCATTTTTGTTCATCCGATATTTCACTTGCGTCTTCCATACCTATCATCTCTTTGCTTAATAATCTTTCCACTTTTTCTGTTAATTTTTCTTCTTCAGTTTCGATTTCAATTTTATTTTTGTCTTCCTCTTTTTCTTCATTATTTTGCTCAAGGGAGCTTTTTAATTTTGTATGGTGATTTTGTGTGTCTAACAGATTTCGATTATTAATTTTTAAATTTCCTTGTCCACTTAATATTTTTCCTACCGTTGATTCGTTAATCCAAAATCCATTTGGCAGTCTTCTTTCTGATTTTATGTAAAAATCATTGTAATTATCATTCCCTATTAATATTTCAGGGCTTGTGTTGTGGTTTGGTACTTTTAATTCTCCTTGATAAAGCTCTCTATACTTTCCTTCTATCTTCACTATTGTCATTTTTGCTAACGGTTGGTCCGTAGCTGACATTTGATAAATTCTTTTTCCTCTTTTTGTTTGTATTCCTAATTTTGTTTTTGCAAGTGTGTAGGTGCCAAGGTTGGCTCCTGCAAATCCTGTTAATTTAACTTTGTTATACTTCTCTAGTTTGAGGTTAAGTTTTTCTGCTAGGTTCTTACTAATGTAACTCTGATCACTACCACTGTCAAAAAAACAGAGTACCTTTTCCTGTTTGTACGGTATTTCTGGATTAAATACCGTAATTGTTGTTGTCAGTAATATACTAGTTTGGTTACTTTCTTCTTTATTTGTTCGTACCGATTGTAATTGAATTTCTTCTTCGATATTATTGTTTATTTGCTTTCTTTCTTCTTTCTTTCCAAATTGTTTTAAACAAATTGCTTGATGGTGTCCTTGCTTCTTACAAAACCAACATATTTTGTTTTTGGTTGAGCATTCTTTGCTCTGATGTCCTGGTCTTAAACAGTTGATACATAGCTTCTTTTCTCTTGCTAGTTTGTATCTTTCTTCTGCTGTTGGGATTTTTCTACAATCCGTTGACCAATGATTAAGGTTACAAAATGGACATGGCCACTTTGGTTTACTTCTTTCTTCTTGCTTTGGTTGAATTTGGTTTTGTATTTTTACTTCTTTCCTTCTTGGTTCTTCCTTTTTTTGCTCTTTTGTTGTGTATTGCATTGTGGTTTTCCCAAATTTATATGGTGTTTTTTGTCTTTTATCTTCGTTAAATTCTTGATGTGATTCTTTGTATACTTCATTGACTGCTTGCTCTTCTTTTATAATTTCTGCCAAATTTTTTATTAAAATTTCTGTATTCCATTCGTTTGATTGTCTCTTCTTACTTAGCATTTGCCTTAATACGGCTTTGCTTAATTTTTGCTCTATCATTAGAGATATTGCTGGAATATTTATTGTTTGTTTGTGTGTCTTCATTAATCGATTTATTCTTTGTAAGTCGCGTAACAATTTTATGTCGTCGTTAAAATTTTGACTGGTCTTTAATCCTAGTAATTCTTTGTTTAATTTTCTTATTTGTGTTTCTTCTTTCTCAAATTCTTCTTTAAGAATTTCGATTGCGACTTCATAATTTTCTTCTAGTGGTTCTATACCTTTGAGTACGGCTGCTGCTTCTCCTCTTACATGCGCGAAGAGTTGACATATTTTTTGTAACCTTGGAATACTATCATCTTCATGAATTAATAGTTTCCATATAGGCCAAAAGTCTGACCAATTTGGTCCTTCTAATGTTACTAATTTTAGTAACGGTGGTTTGAGGCCGTGGGTATTTCCTCTAGATTCATTCATTGTTGTATTTTGTTCGTTTTGTGGTGTCGGTTCCTTTTGAGACCTCATGACTAAGTAGTCTGTCTCAATTGAGTTCCAATTTCTTATTTTTGTTTTTGCTGTTTTGTAAATACTTTCTATCTGATTTTCATTGATAAAATTTGTTAGTTCATTTTCGGCTTCGATTCTTTCACTTGTCTTCAATTTTTGAATGTTTGCTTCCCATTCATCTTGAATGATCTCAATTTTTCTTGTGTTGCTTTCCAATTCTTCTTTTATTGCTTTTATCTTCCTTATCTGACCTTCAAGTACGTGAATGTCTTCTTCTTCTGTTGGTCCTTTGACCTTTGTTGCTATTAATTCTTTAGTGATCTCGATGATATTTTTTAACTTTCTTTTGTTTGATGTTATTGAAGACATTTTTATTATTTATTTTAATTTTATTTTATAAATTTTTTATTAAAAAATTTTTTAATAAATTTATCCTGGCTCAATAGAGCTTTGGCTTTTGTTTTAGTTAACTTACTTTTATTGTTCTTGCTAACAATTTGATTTTGTCCCCCACTTTCTTTTGAATTTGTTGCTTTGTTGTTTTTGTTGTGAATTTTTACGAAATCGTTCGTTGTCGGGGCTCCAGATATCAGAAACGTCAAATTAAATATTTGGGTTGCTGACAATTAATAAAACGAAGACAAAAGTTTTAATATAATATTTTATTATAGCACCTTAAACTTGGGTAATTAAACCGAATTAAACAAAGAAATGTGTGAACAAAAAATGTGTGAACGAAAAATGTGAAAAATGAATAAAATCGCGAAATTAATAAATTTATTAAGTTCTTGGGTCGCCACAGGAGAGGGATAGCCAATCATTGTTGTCGGGGCACTCCTTGCCGTTACCGCTCTCTCGGCCAAAGAAGGCTAGGGAACGGTTCCGGCAAGGAGCGCCTGTTGTGGTGTGTTGCTGTCCCAAGTGGGATGAGGAAAGAGTGAAGTGTTGTTGGGAGGAGTGTGCTTCTTTAAATAGTGGGGGTAAATGATTATATCTTCTTTTAAAAATAAGTTATTTACATTACAAAATTATTGTGGGAATGTTGTTGTTAAAAGATGAGGGGAAAAGATTGTAGGCCAAAGAAGGCTAAATAAAAAATCTTTTATTAAAAGAAAAAACATTTTTTATAAAAAGAAAAATTTTTACACAAAAATAAAAAGGAATGTGAATTGATTGGTCGGTGATTCACTTTTTTCACACCGACTGACAAAAGAATAAAAAATAAAATAAAAATTTTATTTTTACCCGGGAACGCCCGAGTCTCGTGTCTCGGGCGTTCCCGACATTGTATCTACACTAATTATTTTTAATACTTTAATATTTATAAACAATGAAGATATTGGAGAACAAAATTTAAAATTATTTGAAAGTGAGAAAAATGTGAGGAATTCTTATTCAAAACTTTCTTAAAAGGTCAAAATAATCGATCCCTATCCCTATTAAAAACCCAATCCCTATTAATCCCTATATATCTGATCCCTATTAACTATTAACAAATAAGCCTTGAAATTTATATGTATATTTTTTTATCTTTCAGATTTTTTTAAAAATGAAAGAAAATAATACTATCTCTAAATGTAAATTTATTTTTTTTATCTTTATTTTCTTTTCAACATTTTTCCAGCAAAATATGGTGATGATAAATTACCGGGATGGCATAAGAGAATGGTAAAAAATAATTTTAAAAAATGTATTTTTTAGAGTGTTCCTGTTAGAAGGCCTCCTCCAACTATTCTTATGTGGAATAAAATTTTTGGCGCTTCTCTAGCAGAAAGTTTGCTTCAATATAAAAATGATGGACAATGTTTTTATAAATGCATTTATACAGATAATCGTTCTCTGTATGTTTTGGTCTTATAATTTAGGAATACCAAACGGAGCGGAAATACCTATTTGAATTAAAGGTCATTTGAAAGAACTCGTAGAGCTGAGTCGAATGACACCAAATTCAGTCTGATTCGACGATTTTGAATAAAATTATGACCTACTGAATCTTCTCTGGAGGGCTAGGCCGGAAATCGGTAAAAAGGTATAGGTTTATGCTACTAGTGAAGAACCCAGCAATATAGTTTACATTGACCATTTTGAGCCTGAGCTTTTTTAAGCTCAAGATTTAGACCTCGAGCTTATTTTTATTTCGCTCGACTCAGCTCGAAGAGCTCTTTCGAATGACATATAATTTAACAATACCAAAGACTTATATTTTTGAAATTTACGAAGCCCAAGAGACCCAACTCCTTCGTTCATTTATCCTTAAAAACTTTTAAATTAAAAAAACTCAGAGAACAAACAGCTTCAATATTAGTTTTCCATATTCGTGATAATCTTGATAAAATGCCAGAACATCGAACACCTCAACAACTTTACACATTTTTTATTCTTGAATCTCCGCCGCATACTTGGGGACTAGGAAGGGCAGTTCCTCCCGACTTTTTTAATATTTCAATGACTTATAGAGCAGATAGTGATGTATATTATCCTTATGATATGTTTGAAGAATATACTAAAAAAGATTTGAAAGGTGGATTAGTTACCTATGAGCAGATTTGGACTGAGAATGAGGTGAATAATTGATAAAATAATTTGTTTATTTTTTAAAGAAAATAAGGCTATAGTATAAGGCCCCCGGAGCCTTATTATCCGTCCCCGCAGTTCGAATTTCCTGCAACTCCTGTTCCACGTAGAATCGATCCCCGCCCCGTAGAGCCCTAGTTACTACGAAGAAAAAAGCAACCATTGACTCTCGCGATACGCGTTTTGCACAAGCTTCTTGCTGACTCCAATATGTATACTTGGTTATATTTCTGTATCGCAACTTTGTCCAAACTTGTTTCGACTCAGTGTGTCATTTAACTATACTGCACTATATCCGAAAATATTTGTTTTTCAAGATTGATAAGAAAATAAAAGCAAAGGATAAACTTGCTTTACAAATTGTTTCAAATTGCAATACAAAATCGCTTCGTGAAAAATATGTTAATAAATTGAAAGATTTAATACAAATAACTCAAATTGGTACTTGTTCTGATGGAATACTAGCAATCCTGAAGAATTGGCGAGTTAATACATTAAAAATTATTTTTTTCTGAAAATCATTTTATCGTAAATCCTCTAAAATAGGCCCCCTCAAAAATAAGCCCCCCTCTAGAGGTCGATTGAAAAAATAACCCCCGGGGTTATTTTAGAGGATTTACGGTATCTGGTTTAGGATAATACAATTTCTTCATGTTTTCCTTCCAAACAGTTGTCTCCATTTGAATTTATCCTTGTACTTGTAAAAATTATGTATTTTATAAAGATATATTAATTACCCTCATAATTACCCTCTCTCGAATAATTACCCCCTTCAGCGAGAGGTCTAAACAATAATTACTCAGGATAATTATTCGCGCATATATCAATTAATGGTATATTAATTAATAGGCAAAATGTCCTGTCTGACAAAATATGATATCCGATTTGTGATTACCTATATAAAATGATTTTGAGAAGAAAAGAATAATTTTTAAGGTGACTTGCTAATTTTACAGGATTACCGGTAAACGAGCATGTAATGAGGATTGTGCAGATAAATTAATTGGTAAGTTTAATAAAAATATTATAATCACTTTTAAGTTTGGAAAATAATAATATGTAAGGTTTTTAACCCTATTCAAAGGTTTATAACCCTATTGAAGTCGGCGTGACTAGTGTGTAGTAAAGAAATTAGTTGCATGTTTTTTCCTTTAAATTTAAGTCTATTAACTTATATTTTTAAGATTCTCATCATTTTTATTTTGCCTTTGAAAATTCTGTTTGTGTTAATTATGTAACAGAAAAATTTTGGAGACTTAAAAGCTTAATTGTGCCTGTAGTTTTGTCAAGGAAAATATTTGAAGGATTAAATATTCCAAATGATTCATTTATTGCAGCAGATGATTTTAAAAGTCCAAAAGATTTGGCATCTTTTCTAGAAAAATTAGCAGCAGACAAAAAACGATATAAAAGGTCAAAATGGAGTAATAAGAAAATTATTAATCTTTAACATTATTAGAGAGTGGGGAATTATTCGAGGGTAGGGAATTAATCGAGTAAATACGGTATACTTACTTTATTTACTTACCGTATACTTACCGTATTTACTCGATTAATTCCCTACCCTCGAATAATTCCCCACCCTCTAATAATTCCCCATGCCACGGATGGGTTGAAAAAATAATTCCTCGGGGGAATTAATCGAGTAAATACGGTAGATTGGAACATAAATAATAAGCCCCATTGAGTTAAACGGATTAAATAACTATTAAAATTCAACAAGATTTATAAGAGTACAAATTTTTTTGCCTATTTTCTGGCGAAAAATCACAATCATAGAAAAAATTTTCGAGAGTGGGAAAAATCCAAAAATTTGTATTTTTGAAGTTAGGCAACTTCTGAGTGATTTTTCGGTAATATTTCGGCTTAAAACATGATGAGCTCTTTCGAATGTATATAATTTGTCTTAGAAAGTGAAAAAAAATAGAACAAAAAGGAGGGGGGAAAGGAGGAAAAAACTGTCTAGCCAAAAACTGCCTAGCCAAAAAACTGTCTAGTAAATGAGTTATAAATAATTGATATCTTAATAAAATCCATTTTCTTGTAGTATAACAAAACTACCATTGGCTCTTCGATCAGTCAATATTTTAAGGTCCTAGAGGAAGATTTCGATCGTAAACATAATATGGTCCAAAAATAAATTTTGGATATGGTTCGGGAAATAGGCTGTAACTTTTTTATACTCGATAGTAATGCATAGAAATTTGCACAAACGATATCTAACATCCTTATTAATAAAATAAAAAATAAATTAGGTAAATCGGTTAGGAAATAAAAAAGTTATGAATTTTAAACTCAAAAGGGCTAATTAGGCATGTTCAACCTAAATAAATCTCTTTTCAGTTATTTTCGTTGGACAAAAAAATATAAAAAAACAAAGAATACAAACAATATTTCCAATCCACTTTGTAATCTTTGTAAAATGGCACATATAAATAATAAAGAATTAAAAATAAAAAATATTTATGATTTTTGGAATGGAGGGGGGAAATGTCAGCAAGGATTTGCTTTAAATGTTTTGCTCGGTTAATTTATTTTTTTATTCAAATAATTATTTTTGTCTCATTTTATTTTTGAAATCCAGTGATTATTTTAAATATTTGCTTAATTTTTTGTAATATCAAAAAAATTTTCGTTAATTTTTGGAAGGGGGGGGGAGGGGAATGTCAACAAGTATTTGCTTAAAATGTTTTGTTCGCTCTAAAATATATTTTTCGTTCAGCTAGTGAACATGAAGCTTCCGGCGGGAACGTGGGTCTTATCATTAGCATTGTCATTGTCGTTGTAGTCCTGTGAGTTTTATATATTTGATTTAGGTTGTCTAGCAAAATTACATTCAAAATAAAATTATAGGCTTGCTGTAGTTGGTGGCCTTGTCTGGTTCTTCGTGCTCCGAAGAAAAGGTGAAGAAGCTAAAGGAATGGAAATGGGAATGACCGGTGCTAGAGGTATGAAGACGAACAAAGTTGGAGCGACTCAAGCAAAGATCGGCGGAATGACTACTGTTGGAGGAATGCAAGCCAAAACAGGTGGAGCGACAACTGCTGGACGAGCTACCTCAAAAGCTGCTGGAACAACGAAGGGAGGAGCGACATCGAAGGCTGGAGGGGCAACGTCGACGGAGTATAAGAATGTAAGATAAGAGAAGATGACATAACCTCACACTTTTCCCTCTTATCAAAGCTGGACATATACATACTTTAAAGTGAAAAATTATAACAGGGTATTAATGATTCAAACGTGGGTTGGACATAACCGGTCATTAATCGGTACACCCGGTTTTCGATTCCGGTTTATGACTGCTCCTAGAGTTTTGGTGAACTAAGACTGGGTTTTTGACTAAATTTTTTACAACTATTTTTTGAAAAAGGGTTGGCCGTAACTTTTGTGGAGTATTGTATTTAATCCATTCAAGCCATCTTTTTTCCTCACGCCTACCATCTTTAATTTCTCATTTGTTTCACCGGTCAGTAGGGGTATATAGCAGGCCTCTGAAAAACTCGAGACCAAGACTTCACCCCATGAACAAAACCAAAAAACCCCAAGAAAATTCGTGAGTCAAGACTGATAATTTTAAAAATTTTTGAATAGGTATATTTTAAAAAATAGAAAAATTGTAATTCAGTTTGTTTTTATGCAATATACATAAAGCATTTTTATCAATTTTTATAATAACTTTTATCAAAAATATATCCAAATATAATTTAAAATGAACAATGTAAATCTTATTCTAATATTTTTCCCCATTTTATTCCTCATAATAATGGGGGAGTTGTTATTTGGAATGATTGGAATATTAATTGGAATAAGTAATTGGAATATTCAAAATTATTATTGAAAAATGTTAATCCCGAATATATACCTATATAAAGTCATAACGAACCGAATTTTTTTTCACTAACCGAACCGAATTTTATAGCGAATAAAATGACATTATTCACAAGAGGGGGAATAATAGTGCCCGGCAAAATCATCTTTCAGGGTCCAGAAACCGGATTTTGTTTAAATTGTCCCCAGGCTGACATTGTCACGTGCGTAGCAGGAGTCTCATACTGTTTAAAATGGGATTCATCTCTTTTATCCTCCTCTTTTAGCGATGATTTTAAAAATTTTGTAAAACGATGAAGCCACATTTCTTTCTTTTTTGCGCGAAGGCAAAAATTTTGAAAATTTTCGAAGAAAAAATTTGAAAATTTGTCTCATTTGCAAGAATTCCTCTATTTACAATAGACCAACTTTTAATAAAAAATAAGTTTATAATAAATAGCTATATGCTTTACAATATTAATTAACAGACAAATGTGTACATACGTTATCACTTTCTTCAAATAATTCAAACTTGCAATAGTTTAGCGACTTTAATTTCACAAATTGTCGAAGAATTATATCCCTTCATTGTAGGCTTTTCCCAGCCTCCAAAAGGATAACCATATTCATTATAATCTTCAAAATTGTTTTTACCATCCAAATGAACATACAAAAGTGGAGTATCGTTATATTTTCTAGTATTTCCTGTAATTTCGTGCCAATTATATTTATCTGTGTAAAATCCAAATGGCTGGTTTCTTTCTTTTAGAGTGCTGACCATTTCCTTAAAATTATTACTTTTCTAACAAGTGACACTCACGAACTATTTTTAAAAATTTCGTAATTATATTTTGCACTATCGTTTAAAACAAGGTCGATTCTAATTTTTGGCTTTTTGGCCCTGAACCTCAAAATGAAAAGTTATATTTGATCAAAGTTTGAACGTTTGGGTCGCATTTCTTATTAAAGAAAAAAGGAGACCGCAATTCTTCTTTGGGTATTGAAAATTTAGTCACTGGAAAGTTATTTTCGGAATTTTGGGCTCTACGTGAAAATAGCGCAATATTAGGCTTTAAAATTTTGGGATCCGCTGAAATTTTGGGCTCTAAGGGAAAGAAGTCAATGAATACATATAATTCAAAAATAACAGCTTTATCCTGGTCAAGCTAAAACGCGGAACGGACAAAACACGGATTTACCAAAACACGGAACGGCCAAAAGGCGAAACTACCAAAACACGGTCCATAAATATAATAATTCATAAAGCGGTTGATCCCGTTCCTCAGTGCCTCGTTGTTTAGTTGATGTTATACGCGAAGTCGCGCATGCCGCAGCAATGTGTGGACTCCGCAGAGTATAGAAATAGGTTAATCGCACGCAGTAGGGTAATATAGGGAGAGCTCTTCCCTATAAGACTCGATGGATTGGCCGGCCGGCAGCTTTGTTGAATGAATTAAGAAGTGATCTGACTTTGCCTATTCTGACTTTGTCACCCGTTTTATCGGAAGTACAGATTTTAAGGAAAGAAAGTTTTAAAAAATACATGATTGTGCAATAAAGAGGACATGTTTTTTTTATTTTTCTGTTGGATTTTCCAGAGTAGGCGGCTTAGAGCCGGGATTCTTTAAGAGAGACTACTGAGGCAACTACTACCTACGAAGCAATTCGAGTTCTGGTTCAATTATCAAACAAATTTAAAAAATCCTTACATCAATGAACTCAATATTTTCAGTTTTGTTATCTTTATTCCATCCACTAAATTTTACACAGTTAATTAAACCATGAATAGCTAGCCAAACCCTTCCAACTTTTGCATTATTTTTATCTAAATGATCGAGGACGTTTGCAATAGATTTTCTAAGATAAATAGAATAATTAATTAAAATACGATCCATTGTACTAAAACGTAATTTGGACTAACTCGGAGTCCAAAGTAATTGGCGATTAACTATATTTAATCTGTGACTAAAACTCCCGACTCGGGAAAATTTCCCGAGTTTTTGGCCTCCCGACTCCCGTTTTCCGAGTTTTTTCTTCCCCCGAACATCACTAATACATATTTATTTATGTATTTACAAATTTACCTAGCATCTCCACAAATTTCATACTTATAAGAAGGCCTAACACAAGGAGTAATATAAATATCAACATTTCCAATCCCTGCAGTTCTAGCATTTATTATATTTAATTCTGCATTTAAATCAACTCTTCCTGAATCATAATAATTAGCTGAAACAATAACAAATTCTTTATAATCTTCTTTTAAACATTTAAATGTTGAAACTCTAAATATTTTATTATTTAAAAAGTAATTCTTAAGGAATATATAAAAATACTCGTTACCTATACCAAGTTTCCCATATTTTAACTCCTTCACTTGTCTCGACATTTTTAAAAATTGTAAAAAATAAAATGGACTTGAATATAATCAAAAAATAAATATTGCTCATTCTGAATTTTTTTTACTTTTATTTTATTTACAAATAAAAACAAAGTTTATTTTTATTATTCTATTTATGCTCATTTCTAATAAAATGCTTTACATCATTTTATTATTACCAGAAACACGCATAGCGAACTGAAACCGCGATGGAAAGTAAAATGATTAATTTGTAAAATATTTTTGTAATGCTAAAGTTGAATGTTTTACAAAATTAAATAGAAAAAAATAAAACTTCCATCCAAGCTTTGATCAGGATAGAAGACCTGAAATTGTAGCTCTAAATCCAATTTCCTGCGCCTACGAAGTCGAAAAGAGCTGGGTATTTATGGTCTTCCACAAGTACACGAGAAGGTTATTACATAAAATCATAATCAGAAAATTTTATGATTAAATCAGGCCGAGAACAGAACTGCAAAACGTGAGAATTTTCGGTTCAATTTTTAGCCGACAACTGACCCTTGAAAAGATATCAGCTGATCGACAAATGACGGCACAACACATTGAGACGACTAACAAAATCGAGTTTTGGGAAGCAGAAACGTTTATGAATAGATTTATTTTGTAACAAAAATTTGGAGGAGGTGATTATTTTATAATATGATATTACAAATTGTGAACAATGAAAATATCTAGGTGAGTAATTAATTGTTTGATTGATCAACATCCATTTTTGAAATATAATACTAGTCTGATTTTCAACTTTCCCTAAGTAAATGCCCTCCACGTGAGTCCTCGAATACCGAAAAACCATAGTGGCGATTTGCATATTTTTGGGTCTTAGATATACTATATTTCATCCTAAAAATTTAAATTATTCTAATAATTCTTCCTCCCATCTCCACATATTTTAAGCTCAGAAAGTATCGGGATCATTTTTCCTAAATACTGATACCAATTTTATGTCGGAATACCGATACTAGCCAACTTTTTTTTGTTTGTTACAATTTTTGTGGAGTTTTCTTGATGCTGCAATTATGAAAAATAAAGTGGGTTATTATTATATTTAGTTATGAAACACTTGTTTCTGAGAAAATTTTGAAAAGAATTAATGTATACCGTATTTTCTCGATTAATTCCCCTGGGGAATTATTTTTTCAACCTATCTCTAGCAGGGGGAATTAATCGAGGGAGGGGAATTATTCGAGGGAGGGGAATTATTGTTTCAACCCATTCCTGAATTTAAAAAAGTATGAAGTTTTGCGTTCTGTTTTCTTAATTTATTTATCACTATTTCATTATATTCCCCATCATGGATCCATATAACTTGCATGTGGTTACTAAGTTCTTTATGTACTCAAAAATGTGTGTATTAGGACTATAGTACCACATGAGGGGTCATTGTATGATACGATACTAAGGGATATATATTATATCACCACGTATGGAACCAAATAAACTTACCTGCTTTATATATTATTTTTTGTACTATCCCATTATTTGAATTAAATTTCGTCTCCTTCGAATATATCTCCTGATATCCCTTCAATCCTCTGATATTTCCTGATTACGTTCAAATCTATTGCTATCCTCTAATACTCCGTTATCCTTAAATCCTATACATTGATATTTCAGCTGTTAAATACTACTACATACTTTGATCCATGTCTACTTTTTAGGAGAGGGAAAAAAGGTGAAGAAAAATAAAATTGTGTAATTCTTTTGAGAGAGGGGAATTATTTGAGTTTTAAGGGAGGGGAATTATTCGAGGGAGGGGAATTAATCGAGAAAATACGGTATGTACATAATTGTGAAAAAAGGCAAATAGAAAAATTTATCCTTAGTAAAAATTAAAAAAATTTTTTATTTAACTTTTCTAAACTACAAAATATATATTTAAATATAACTAACAATTCTTCATCAATCTCTTCAAAAATTTCAAATTTTCAATAATTTAGCGATTTTAGTTCCACAAATTCTCTTAAAAGTTAATCTCCTGCTTTACTGGTACTTCAAAAATTCCCGAGCTACAATTTTGAATTTACGCCTAATAATCTTTTTCATCAAATTCTGCATACAATGAGCTCGAATATAATGTTAGATTTTTTATATAAACATAATATAGGTAAGCTATGATTTTTTGTTCAAAGGATATGTAAGCAAAATTTATACAGTAGAGAACGGAAATTTAAAAAAACCTTGATTTTGGTTGCGGACTTTGACCAGATTATTGAACTTGAGTGAAAGAAAATCAAGATTAATGAAAAATGCCTTGATCATGACTATGGATTCAGGTAAATCGAGGCCAATCTCTAGTATACATTACATTAATAATATTTAGT